TGCTTTTGGTTTTGCGGCTGACGACTACCTGAAGTTTATGACTCACAGACATTTCCCAAATTCCTGCTGATGCCTAGCCAGGCTTGTAATGTGGCTCTTTTCAGTTCCAGCTTGTTTCAGAGGCTCTGGCCAGTCGAGAACATTCCACCTTTTGGCTGTGAGAAACTCCATAGTTGGTTTAGCTGTCTGCAATCACACCATCATCATCAAGGACAAGTGGACCGGGTCCACTGGCAGCTGTACATACCGATACCACCAAGTAAATCTTTTGAAGATTTGTATTTGTAATTGAATATTTGTACTTTTTATTACATTTCCAAGAACTAAACACTCTTTTTTACTGATTTAGACCTTTAAAATATGTGTTACAAATTTTAAAGGCAATGAGGCTTTTCAATCAGTACCTATGTGATTATTTATAAATTATTAATTAAATTCATATATAAAGGCAATAAAAAGAACTGCTGAACATTCTCACACTGAGGAAGATGAGGAGCAGGAGTAGTGAAGGACTGAAGGATAATACTATGAAATGTAGAGGTTATGACGTCTCACTATGCATGCATGCCAAGTTTATTCCGGGGTTTTGATGTTATAATATTTGTGCTGTTCTTAATTTTATCTGCTCCTTGAGTTCGTTTGAAGAGTATTTCTGGCTCCATGCTTTCACTTCTTACCGATTACCGACTGCTCACGGACTGCGCTTTACCTTCAAACCCCTCCAAACGTGTCCAGCATGGAAACTCACAGAAACACACAGAGCAAGCACTGCCCGCTCCACTTATCCTGGACGAAGATGATGGAATGCTGGCTCTGTAAATATGAACAGGAGCCACGGTCAAATTCCCACAACACATGAGAAATTCCTTCTCGATAACACAGGGTGTGCTTTCCATTTAGTGCTGGAGCTTCCACACGATCTCAAGTGCAGAGCGGACAGGGCCGAGCAGAGACCAGTAGAGGGGCAGGTGCTTTAAAAAGGCCTCATGGATCATGATTTTAAACATGAACTTCATCATAATCTGTGAACTACAGCAACCAATATTCAAGCTGAACACAGCATACAGCATAAAATGGCGAGTGGGCCTGTGCCAGGATCAGAGTCCTATTTGGGTAAATGTGTGGAAAATAACCTCAGCAAAAGGTTAAACTGGGTGGGAAATTTAAATGTGGATGCAAGAGAATAGTGTGTGAGCTGAGTCAACCTTTGCAAAATTAAAGAACATAATAAAGCACAGTTTAGTAAACGTTGTGGTTGTAGGATATTTTCAGCTTTAATTTGGTCACAAAACTGTAATTAAACTAGTAATAAAGAGCAGAATTGCAAAATTTGGTTGCCGCTTAACTAGCCTAATGACTAGCTTGGAATTTTTTTTTTTACCCAATTTTCTCCCCAATCCAACACATCCTCTACAGAGAAGAAACATAAACATATGGCATTTTAGTGCACAGTTTTATGTATTAGCTGAGTTGAACAAATTGGAAAAAACAGAAACATAAAATGTGCCATAACTTTTTGCACAGGCCACATTTTATATTTCGTTTTTTTTCTCTGACGTGTTTAATTCAGCAAATAAACAGCATTAAAAGTGCATAAGTGTGTTCTCTGTGGAGGATGCATTAACTTATTTTCACTTAGAAAACCAACAAAAATGTCATTTGACAAGGGCGCCCAAACTTTTGCACACAACTGTGCAAATGCAGTAAAATTGATAAAATGCAGATATTTGAGCAAAGTAACTCAGTGTCGCTTAAATCTTCTGCTCTTCCAGAGTACAATTGATACGCCATGAAATATCGGTTTGAAATATCGGCCAAATCCGAACATCTGTCTGATAACGATAATCTTTTCTGCCAGTACCGATGTGTTTCCGATATAATTGTGCATCCCTAAGGTTAGTAAAAAGTGGTAACAGTCTGAAAAAAACATTGCCTGTTAGTTTTGTGGTCTGACATCATAAAACTGAGTGATAACTAATATATTTGAGGGTGGACAAAATATTGGACACACCTAAGAATATTTTATCAGGTATGTAATAAGAAGTACAGGATTTCAGTCCTTCTTGACATGTGGTCTTGAACTGTATGTGATATGATATTGGATCTTTCCAATTTTCTCCCCAATTTAGTCACATCTAATCTAACCCATTAGCTGAGTCTCCTCCTATCACACAATGCTGTCAAGCTGGGAGGACGAAGGCTGTCACGATCTTCCTCCAAGACACGTGAAGCTCCACCACATCGTTTCAAACTGCAGCTAAAGCAACGTCACTGGAGCTCAACACGCTTGGAGGAGAACACTAACTGCTAATTCTGCTTTGTCAGCTAACAGAGGCCCCCGTTGCCCTCCGTTGAGTGATGGAGGAGAAAAAGGACCATCCTACACAGCCAGACAGAGCAAGGACAGTTTTGATCTCTTGGACTTATAGGTTTACTAACGTTTTCAAGGACATTTAACATGTACATCCCAAATAAGGCTTGTTTCGCAGTGAAAACAGATGGTTGTTATCAGGTACTGACATGAATATGAACAAACTCGCGCTGCTGCTGCTGCTGCATTCCTGCTGTATTACAAACTCCAAGAGTGACAGGGTGGAATTTACAGTTTTTACTGTTTATCAGACGCACAGTGCTGCAGTTTTTCTGCCAGGTTCACAACTGAACCTACTCTATTTCTTTGTATTTGTAATCTGTAGATGTGTGCTGCGTTTGAGGGACTATGGGTCAGTTTCCCAGACGCAAACTAAGTCTAAACCTATATTAAAAAGGTTTTTTATTGGCGAATCATCATTAGAATTGCCATTTAACTGGCTATTTCTCCGTGACATGCTCAGAAAAGAGTTTTGTGATATGACACTGTCACACTGCCAACTTCTAATGCCCAGCTACCATTATAACAGTTTAAATCTAGTTGCTTATAGCAGTTTTAGTACACTATCCAGGTATTAACAGTGTATTTGCCATGTAAATATGCTGCTTGTACTTAAAGTAGATAGAACACGTTGGACGAATTCGTTCTGAATCACAGGGACTCTTGTAGAAGCCGTGTTTTATGGACTCAGTGCAGGTCGTTGAGAAGTGCAGGTGAGCTACAGGGGCTGCTGAGTGATTTCGGGCCCTGCAGGTATGGGAGTGTGTCCTCTTTGTTGAGTGTGGGTAGTAATTACTCCTCCTCATGATGTTAGTCATCAGCTTTTACAATGAGACACACCCTGCCGTTGTTGCAGTGCATTTCCTTTAGACTTCATTAAACGACAACTGGTGATGGAGGAACCTGCGTCTGAATTACTTTGTCAACTCTTGGACAAATAACGTTCTGCAGATTTCTGCAGTGACAATCATACATCCAACACGTCCTCGACAAAGAAGAAACATAAACATATGGCATTTTAGTGCACAGTTTCTATGTATTAGCTGAGTTGAACATATTTGAACAAAATAGAACCATAAAACATAAAATGTGCCATAACTTTTGCACAGGCCACATTTTATGTTTTGTTTTTCTCCTCCAATGTATTTAATCCAGCAAATAAACAGTATTAAAAGTGCATAAGTGTGTTCTCTGTGGAGGACGCATTAACTTATTTTCACTTAGAAAACCAACAAAAACGTCATTTGACAAGGGCACCCAAACTTTTGCACACAACTGTGCAAATGCAGTAAAATTGATAAAATGCAGATATTTGAGCAAAGTAACTCAGTGTCGCTTAAATCTTCTGCTCTTCCAGAGTACAACTGATACGCCATGAAATATCGGTTTGAAATATCGGCCAAATCCGAACATCTGTCTGATAACGATAATTTTTTCTGCCAATAACGATGCGATTCTGACATAATCGTGCATCCCTAAGGTTAGTAAAAAGTGGTAGAAGTTTGAAAAAACATCGCCTGTTAGTTTTGTGGTCTGACATCATAACACTGAGCGATAACTAGTATATTTGAGGGTGGACAAAATACCAGAAACATCTAAAAATATTTTATCAGTTATGTAATAAGAACTACAGGATTTCAGTCCTTGACATGAGGTCTTGAACTGTGTGTAATGGGATATTGGATCTTTCCTTTAACCAAAAAAACACTCATAAAAGGGGTGTGGCCATGTGTAGGCCTGGGCTTCCCCAGATTGGTCACAAGCCCACCCAGTCGAAGGGGGAAAATATTTATTATGCTGATTTTTTTTAAATAATGAAATGTGTTTTGTTTTCCATGAGTCTGTATTATGACCAATCAAAATGATTAAGATCTCCGCTAAGCTCTGCCTTCTTTTCCTCAGCCTTCCAAGTTGGCCTGCCCACTTTTTCTTTTAGCTATGCTAATGTAATTTAATCCATGTTTATTGATAACAGTGTGTCATACAGTATCAGAAACCACACTAATAGACCACATGTCTATTAGAGAACATCTCCACAAGCTTTGAGGAGAGTGTGTGATGATTAAGGCATGCAGTTCCATTTTGAAATGAAAGGTGTTAATGGTGAGTTTGTCCTCCTTTGCTGCAGAAACGGCCTCTACTCTTCTGGGAAGGCTTTACACTAGATGTCCAAAAGTATCCAGACACTCCTTCTGTAAGGTCACCCACTGTATAATCTCCATAGAAAAGCACTGGCAAATAAAGTGGGATACTCTGGAGCAGCTGCACATGAGCCTTAGGTCTCCATGCTCAATGCCAAGCGTGGGCTAGAGAGGTATAAAGCCCCCCAGCATTGGGCTGTGGAGCAGTGGAACTGTGTTCTCTGGAGTGATGGAGCTCCATCCCATACATTTGGGATGAGTTGGAGTGATTCAGAACTGACCATCCAATCTAATCAGTACCTGACCTCACTAATCCTCAATCAAATCCTCACAGCAATGTTCCAACATCTAGTGTAAAGCCTTCCCAGAAGAGTAGAGGCTGTTACTGCAGCACAAACCCACTATTAATACCCTTCATTTCAGAAGAAACGCTCATATCTATAAACTTTCGGACACACAGTATGTTGTATGCAGTGGCTTTAACAGACCTGGCCGAGTGTAACGCTTCCTGCGTAGGTCCTGCCGGCTCCGGCCAGTGAAAATGGTGTTGACCCTTTGTGCCCAGCCTTCGTGACTACCCCTGTCATTCACCCCGCAGCGCGGCGAGGCCATCTTCACCAGGGTGGCGCTGTCCAACTGTCCAGTGACAGGCAGGTGGGACAGCCACTGGAACTCCCTGAACAAGATAAAAATCAAGATCGAGATCAAGAAGGAGAACCATCTACATGTAGGGAGTGGAACAAAACAATATTCCTCCAATAATATACAAGATAAGGACATTTACTGACCACACAGTACAAGTGCCAAGATATAAACCATATAAAATGCAATTAATTCCACCAAATTTTCTAAATTCCTGCATAATTAAACGGTTAAGATGTAAACAGAGTCGTTCAGAGTAGTTTGGTGTGAAACGCTCTGTTCTAGAGAAACTTACCGAGTCAGAATTGTTCACAGTGGTGGTGATAGGAACCAGACGTCCACCTCTAAAAGCTCCCTCACAGACAGTTATTACATGAAATGGTTATGAATACGGTGCTTGTTTTGAGAAGGTTTTGGAACAAAATGTAATTTTTTAAATACAAGCAGGGCGCTGTAAGGCAAAATAGTCCCCAAAGAAAACATATTATTTCAGATTTTCCCATCATCAACATTCCTTATAAACTCAGAAGACTCGTGTAGGTTCACTGGTGGCGACCCCTGGTTCCTATCACCACCACTGTAAAAACATCTGAACCATTTCACACCAAACCACTCTGAATCACTCTGTTTACATCACACACACTGAATTATGGAGGAATTTTTGAGAAATTGATTGAATTCTTCTTTAACTGAAATAATATAAGCACAGAGTAAATGAAATGTGAAATTTATATATAAACCATAACAGCAGCAGTACAAGAGATACATTTACAGACAGCAGCTTAATATATCACAAGCCTTATAAAGTCCTAAAATAGATTTTAAAAAGATCAGAAAATGTCTGAAAATGTCTCATCTTTATATTATTACATGCATTAAAATCCTAAAATGATGTCTAAAGAGTGGGTCATCGTGTATGCTGTACAGCGTATCAAGCTGGGAGAGATCCTGTGGTCGGTGACTGCAAAGTCAAAGGCTCTGAAAATATGCATATATCCATTATCATTTGATTTTCAATCAATCAGTTTGTATAAAACAGAAATGATTTGAATGCATACCACATTTCAGTTCATGTGTGCATTATTGTGCTGTGACAGCGGTGCTATTTTCCCTGTGTTGAGGTCCTAAAAAGGTTCTAAAAAGGTGTTATACTATCAATTTAATGAGGAGAGGTAATAACACATACAGAATAGTAAAAAATCACAAGTGATCCCATTCACTACTAATAAAGCACATGTGCAATCAGTGAACCGTCTTAAGAGCAGTTGAGAAACTCCTGACTCGGGAAATGTAAAAGCAATCATATCAGCTGAAATTCTCCTATGTGCACAGAAGAGTTGCAACAGTTCAGATCTAATCTCCATGCAAAAGCAGCAGGCTGGGCAGGAGCACATGATTTCACAGCAGTGTAGCCTGGGGTGGGGGGTCTTTCCTAATCTGAGGCAATGAATGAATGGCCTCCCCTGCAGACGCGTCCACCGCGGCTAATCATGGAGGTTCCAGCGTAAATAATAGTCATTAGATTACAACGCTGTGGGCCAACGTAAACACGCTGGCCTTATGCAGTGTTTAGTGTAAAGAGGAGAGAGAGAGAGAGAGAGAAAGAGAGAGAGAGAGAGAGAGAGAGAGAGAGAGAGAGAGAGAGAGACATGTCTACACTGTCATGAGTGTCTGAGGGCAGCTTAGCTTTTTTATAGCAGTTATTTTTCATTTTAATAAAAAAAGCAGATATTTCCCTCTAAATGAACCTGGCTAATCTTTAAAAAGCCCAAATCCTACAGCTTTCCTCTGAGGTCCACTTACGATATTTGTGAGGTTTTATGCACGAACGCTTTGTCACGGGAACAGAAGGTAAGGATGTGAATTTATAGGGCATTAGATTGGAAGAAGGAGGGGTTTCAGCCATGCTCCTCCCCCCAAACTTCAGTTATAACATAACTACATTCATAAGGAGGAAACATTATATCTTTTAATTTCCGTGTGAGTGGGCGGGGCTAAACTGATATAGACTGAAAAGGCGAACATATGTAAATGTGCTGGTTTTCGTGACATCACAAAAGCAATTTATTTAACGGGCTGTACAGACTGAGGACAGTACATTTAGAAAATTTAACAACAGGCTACATCAAACTGTTTTATTTAGAAAGGCAGTGAAGGAACAGTCGGTTTTCCACATTATGGGCCCTTTAATATCATCACTGTTGGAATAAAACCTTAAGGAAGGAAAAAAGAACTCTGAATGTAAGTGAGTGTAAAACGGGTTTATTCCTAGTTTTCCTAACTATTTGCTTTTGTCCACTCATCATGAAACTACAGTGCAGTTTGTACAGTTTGAACTGTACTGAAAGTACAGTTCAGTTGGTGCTTCTGTACATTGTAATAAAAAAAGGAAGACATTAAAAAGAAGTGACTGGAAAGAAAACATGCTCATGTGTATTAAAACCATTCTGGAAAGCGATGTGTGTCCAAACACCTGCAGAATTGAAGCCATTCGGAAAAGTGAAATGTGTCCACGGTGTTCAGGTATTCTCAACACCATGGACACACCTGAGAGGAGGTGTCCCTGCAGACAGCATTAGGAGAGTGATCACACTGTACAGCAGCTACATGGCTTATAATTATATGAGAATAGACCAGTTCTGGTACGTAGACTCTCAAAGATGAGCTGTTGACCCAAAGAAAAAGCAAAAAAGTAAAAAGTTAGTTGCTGGGCTGCCCTAAAAAATAAAAAAAGTTGTTTGAACTTCAAACAATTGAAGTTGAAAGGGCATAAAACACAGAACATGGTCTGTTAACTTGCTATTCGAAGTTTAATGAACTAATTATTTTTTACTTTTTTAAGTTAAGACCTCAAATTTGTTTACTGTGTATTAGTCCTAACCATTAACTACATCTGCAATGCAAGGACTTCAACATAAAGCCGACGGCATTTCTTTACGATTTACATTTGATTTGATATAATTTTCACTTGTATACAAAAGTGTAAACACCCCCCAGTCAAATGAAATGTTTTGTTGATTTTCTAAGTGACCACAAGTTAGCACATCCTCTACAGACAGCACACTGAAATATGGCATTTTTCTGTAGATTTTAGTGCACAATGTCTATTTATTGGTAAAACATGGCATATAAAATGTGCCATATCTTTTGCACAGGTCACATTATATGTTTTTACATTATTAGATTGTTATAAGAAACATTAATAAACAAATAAACAGTAATTGTGCATTAAAGTGTGCAGAAGTGTGTCTCTCTAGAGGATGTGTTCACTTATTTACACTTAGAACATCAACAAAACATCAAATTTGACCTAAACTTTTGCAAACGACTGTACTTATATGGGGCGGCACGGTGGGTAGCACTGTCGCCTCACAGCAAGAATGGCCTGGGTTTGATTCGATATGTATGTACTTATATGAACTGAGTGAAATGATGATGTTACCTGACAGCTGACTTGACCTCATTTGCACTGTGCGTGTGCTCCTCATCATGCAAGTAGCCGTATCTCTCGAGGAATCCCTGCACAGGAACACAGGGTGCACTTTTAAACTCCAATGCCTGTTTACTCAGGAGCTTCAAATGAACCTAAGTACACTGATCCAGACCAATACTGTACGTATGAATGTGTATATTCAAAATCATATGCTGTTTCTCAGCTCGCAGCCCCCTGTGAGATCTTCACTACATCACTCCACAACCATTAATAATATTCTGTAGGATTAGGGATGAACTGATATATTGTTATATTGATATATTGATGATATGATGAACAATAATTTGCATTGTGCAATGGCTTTTTTTTGTTTTTTTTTTTAATTTAAAAACACGTTCATGCTAAAATGCGTATGATGGCATACAGCCATATGCAAAGGTTTGTGCGCCCTTGGTCAAATTCAATGTATTTGTTGATTCTCATCCTCTACAGAGACACACTTCTGCACATTTTAATGCAGAGTTACTGTATATTTGCTGAATTTCACACATTAGAAAAAGGCTTTTTGCAAAGGTTGAGGCACATTTATATTTTTTATATGCATTTTTTTCCAGCAAAGAAAAACTTGTGCACTAAAATTAGCAGAGAAATTCATATTTAAGCATGTTCCCTGTAGAGAATGCGTTACTTACTTTCCCTTAGAAAATCAACTGTGTTCAAACTTATATGCACGGACTGAATATCCCTTAATCTGTGAATGACACAGTATAGCGACCATCAATATATATTGTGTATATATATTTCATAAAGCCCCCAGCATTGGGCTGTGGAGCAGTGGAACTGTGTTCTCTGGAGTGATGGAGCTCCATCCAGTACCTTTGGGATGAGCTGGAGTGATCCAGAACTGACCATCCAACATCAGTACCTGACCTCACTAATGCTCAATCAAATCCTCACAGCAATGTTCCAACATCTAGTGTAAAGCCTTCCAGAAGAGTAGAGGCTGTTACTGCAGTTAAGCAGGGCAAAGTCACTATTAATACCCTTCATTTCAGAAAAAATAAAGCAAGGAGGAGGCGAACTGCATCAACCTCGTTCTGACTTCACCAGAAAACTTGGCATTTTCCCATAGATATAGTGTCTGGCTATCGTCTCAATGCCCAGAGAGCATAAAAAGCCACAAAAGTATGTGCAGCCTGCTTCATGGGGGAAAATCCAGAACTCCCTGAACTCCCTCCATGCACGCAAACAATAACATGTTTAATATCTTCTTTGACTTCTTTTACGAGGAATGCAGCATTTTTCTTTCCGTGCCTTAGAGGCATGTCTTTTCATGTAAACTCCATATTGCCTTCGGTGACCAAGGTGTATGAACTTCCAGACCACCCATATGTGCAGAGTAGGAGGAGGTAATAGTAGCTGGAGAAGTTGCTCCTGGTCATGGCATCAACACATGCTAGTGTGATTACAGCTGTGCAAAAGGACGGAGGGAGAAATCCAAGACAAACGGCATCATCATTAGAGACGTACAGGTTTCCCAGGCTGAGATGAAGTTCTAGTACATGGAGAACATGTGCTTGTGACTAATCAAATGACAGCAGCTATGTAAGGATAACATTCATATGTGTCATTGTATAATATTAGGGCTTTTCTAATTAATTTCATGCATAAATTAAAGTTTGCCTTGAAATAAATGCATTAAGGTGAAGCACTAAAGGTGAATAGAGTGATTTTCTAAAACAGTAGACATCATTAATCTTTGCCAGTTGATTATTAATATTCTTCCAGATATTTTTGCAATGTCAGTGTTACAGATGATGATGATGGTGAACATTTAATAAGATGAATTAAATGTTTATATGTAATTTTAAAGAGATGCTTCAGAGAGAGAGGATTTTACACAACAGGTTACTGAAATCTTTGTTTTATTATTTAATCAATGCACTATTATTATAAAAAAAAACATTCTTTAGAACATAATGTAATACGTTTCCAGCAATATGAGCAATAAATTAAGAAATTCTTCTGTAATGTTCTTTAGAACAGGGAAAGAAATGAACATAATAAGTTTCCTGAATGTAGATTTTTGAAAAGCTGATGTTGAGAAAAAAGCACTTTTAAGAATCAGCCTCAGAACTACATTTCCCAGAAAACACTCAGCATTTGTGGGAATGTAGCTAGAGCAAAGGACACAAACATACATTATATGTCCAAAAGTTTGTGGACACACCTTCTTATTAGTGAATTAAGGGGTTCAAATACACACACATCTTGTTTAATCTCCATAGAAAAGCACTGACCAGTAGAGTGGGACACCCTGGAGCAGCTGCACATGAGCCTAAGGTCACTATGATCAATGTCAAACGTGGTCTAGAGGGATATAAAGCCCCCCCAGCATTGGGCTGTGGAGCAGTGGAACTGTGTTCTCTGGAGTGATGGAGCTCCATCCAATACCTGAGTTGGAGTGATCCAGAACTGACCATCCAACATCAGTACCTGACCTCACTAATGCTCGATCAAATCCTTACAGCAATGTTCCAACATCTAGTGTAAAGCCTTTCAGAAGAGTAGAGGCTTTAATTCTTTTGAATTCTTTTGAATTTAAAAGAAATATTGGATGAGCCCGTGTCCACAAACTTTTGGCCATACAGTGTAAATGGATTTCTATTGAGATTCTACAGGAAACAAGCTTTTCAGTGATGTCTGACATGATGTGGTTGTGCTGAGTGGGCAGAGCCAAGCCATCATTAAAGATGCTAACTGTTGGAAAAATACAACTCGATTTGAGTGAACGTGAATCGAGTTTTGACATTTTTATGATTGCAATTGAAGAGCAGACAAAGGTATATTTCACTACTGTCTGAAGAAAAAATCTCATATTTCCAAAATGGTAACTTTACAGAAGAAGGAAAAAACATACTCTAATTCAAAGTCAAAAGAACCAGACTAATTTCCTAATCATTTCTGGCTGTTTCTTTTGGTCCGTTCATCATGAAATTTAGACACAATGTAAACGGCAAGAGGCATTTTCAAATTAGGTCAAAAACTGAAAAATGTTTTCTTCGGACAGCAGTGATATATTAATATATATTATATTAATACACTAATATCATTTACCATTGCCAAAAAAGTTATGCTGCTGAACTGGAAGGACAGAACCAAAATCTCAACAAAGCATTGGCATAACCTCCTTATGGATCACTGCAACTTGGAAAGACTCACAGCAAATTTTAAAAATAACATAAAACCTTCCAAGGAAATCTGGTCACAATTTTTACAATATACTGACAAGCTGATTTATCTTTTTAAAGTCTTTTAGAAAATGTTAAAACCCACAAAAAACAATAGGTACCTTGTTTATGGTATTGTTTTGTTAAATGTTCTTGTTTGTCCTGTCCAGTTTGTCTATCGTCTGCCTTGTCTCTCAGGTATCTCTGTCTTTTCTTCCAATCGAAGGGGTGGGATGGGTGGCCGGGGGGTGGGGGGGTTGTGTGTGGTTGGGGTAGCACGTCACCTTATATCTGTATGATTATTAATAAACAATGAGTTGTGACACTAATAGTGAAACGAAAAAGAAAAATGAATGTCCCCGTAAAAAGGGGGGTGACGGGGTGGCCGAGGATCGCTGGCCCGAGGATTAAAAAAAAAAAGAAAAAAAGAGAGTAGACATATGTAGGTGTAATTAATCCAAAACTTAAACTTATCATTATTGTCTGTAGCATCTGACCTTATTTAATTATTACAATTTGGAGAAATGAACAGTCAAGTAGAGTGTTTAATACTGAACTTAAATCTTTACATTACAGATAAAGTCCTAGTATTTTTGGACAGGGGTATCATCATAATTACTGAGCAGCAAGAGAGTGACGTGGTACCAGACTAACCACAACAGAAATGGCACTGTGTTAAAAAGTTAATTTTACTTTTTAAACGGTCTCCCGTTTATGTGTTCCTGACCACGAGAAAAGCTCATTCTCCCCAGTACAGGGTGTGTCATGCTGCTGGAGGCCGCTGCAGGACAATACATGCCTCCAGAAATGGGCTGTACCCAAAGACTAGTCATTAGCTGCAAGTGTTTCCAATACAGACCAACATTAAAGGGTCCAAATCATAAAAAAACAACTCTCCTCATTTTTTAACCCCTTAAAATCTCAGGCTTATTCCATACTGAGGCTTATTATTCAGTAACTACAGGGACTTCAATGCAAACTGGCTGCTTACAGACGTGTGTAATAAACTTTGGGCCTGACGGGTGGGCTCTGGGAATTTAAGGGGTTCAGAAAAGAGTCTGATTTAGTACGTAAACATTGTTAAACTCGTAAAATGTACAGTTCACTCCCGAGTCCACATATAGAAGCTGAGCTGCCAACCAGATTTAAATTCATTGTTTTTGTGATGTCCATTTTATCAGCTCCACTTACTATATAGGTGCACTTTGTAGTTCTACAATTACAGACTGTAGTCCATCTGTTTCTCTGCATACTTCGTTAGCCCCTTTTGCCCTGTTTTTCAGTGGTCAGGACCCCCATGGACCCTCACAGAGCAGGTACAATTTGGGTGGTGGATCATTCTCAGCACTGCCGTAACACTGACGTGGTGGTGGTGTGTTAGTGTGTGTTGCGCTGGTCTGAGTGGATAGTCTCAGACTGAAAATAGTCGACCAGCCAAAAATATCCAGCCAACAGCGTCCTGTGGGCAGCGTCCTGTGACCACTGATGAAGGACTAGAGGATGACCAACACAAACTGTGCAGCAGCAGATGAGCTATCGTCTCTGACTTTACATCTACAAGGTGGACTGACAAGATAGGAGTGTCTAATAGAGTGGACAGTGAGTGGACACAGTGTTTAAAAACTCCAGCAGCACTGCTGTGTCTGATCCACTCGCACCAGCGCAACACACCACCACCACATCAGTGTTATTGCAGTGCTGAGAATGATCCACCACCCAAATAGTACCTGCTCTGTGAGGGTCCATGGGGGTCCTGACCACTGAAGAACAGGGTAAAAGGGGGCTAACAAAGTATGTAGAGAAACAGATGGACTACAGTCTGTAATTGTAGAACTACAAAGTGCACCTATATATGATAAAATGGACAATAAGTGTAGAAACAAAGAGGTGGTCATAATGTTATGCCTCATCGGTGTATATCCGCCTATTCGGCCAACAGCAGCTTAGCCCCGCCCACTCACACTGAACTTATAAGGAGTCTTTCAGGCCAGACTGCATTTTGAATAAGACGCAATACAGCCAATAAGAGCAGGCTCATTTGCATCAGTCTTAAAGGCACAGTAACAACAGTTTTAATGAAGAACCCCTTTTATAAGGGTGTAGATTTTTTTGTACTCCAAAAAGCTTAAAAAGAGTTAATCTTATATATGATACCTTTAAAACAAACAAACAATAAAGCAGAGGCGTAGCCAAGCGATGGCTGACCCCACTCAGTCATCGTCAATAAAGCATCACTTATGCTAAATATCAGGATCATTACTAATCAATTATAAGACAATAATGCTGCATTTAATAATCAGCGCATCTTGCTGTGATTGGGTGATTAGCTCAGCAAACAGGTGAGTTAATGTGCACTGCACTCTTATAGCACCAAAAAGGGTTCTGCTATTGTTATGATGTCAAGCTTGTATACACTAGAACACTTTTTGATGTTATATAGAACCACTGTGAACAGGTTCTATGTAGGATTACAGTTTCACCATGCAAGGAATCATTTAAGCATGAATTTGTGAGTGGGCATGGATCTGTATAGAACCACTGTCTTTACTAAAGAGCCTTTAAAGAACCATCTTTTGAAGCATGTGGGTCACTTCAGCACTGCTGCTCTGAGAGCTACATTATGAAGTCGGCTATTAAAGGTAAGATGAGTAACTACTAAAAATAAGTCATCTATAATCATTTATCCTGCTACCCAGTCACTTTTTACAGCTGAATACAGGGGTGTTGTAGGTTCTCTTATACAGAGCTGAGCTTTCTAATCACTCACATATAACTTGTAGTGAATGCAACCTGGAATTAATAATTATATAACTTGTCTGTGAATGTTTTTCTTCAAGTTAACATGAGTGACTAAAATCCATCCATCCATCGTTCCCAGCAGTGTGTATAACACCTCTGGGTTTTACCTGGTCAGCCCATTCTAAATGTTCCAGCTTCACTCTTAAAAACATTGGTCCTCCAAGGGTTTTTTTAGCAAAAGGAATGGTTCTATTTAGAACCACAATTCCTATATAGAACCATTTGCATGCTTTAATGGCTTTTTGCATTGTGAAATCGTTCTTCAGATTGATGGAGATGGGCTGTATAAGGTTCTATAAAGAACCAAAAAGGGTTTAATGACAAGCTTGTTACAAAATATACATAATAATAATAATAATAATGAAAGTATAAATAGAAGTACAAATAAAAATACAATACAAATACAACTAATGATAAAGTAATATATTTAAAAAATATATAAAATATTAAAAACATTTAAAAACAGAAAAACCTTTGTTTTTGGTGCTCTATAGAACCCTTTTCAAAAAAGGTTCTACAGCACATTCTCCATCAATCTGAAGAACCATTTTACCATGAAAAAGTGTTCACAGTTCTATGTAGAACCATTTTCTTTACTAAAGAACCCTTGAAGAACCATCTTTTTTAAGACTGTATAGAAACTTTTTGAAAATGATTCTCCGTAGCACCAAAAAGTGTTGTTCTATTGTTACAAGATTGACATTGTAACAATAGCAGAACCCTTTTAGGAGCTACACAGAATCATATATAACACAATCTGAAGAATCATTTCACCATGTAGAGAACCATTTAAGCATGAAGTGGTTATATATATAACTCCAGGTTTTAAATAGGACCGTTGCCTTTACTAAAGAACCATCTTTTTTAAGACTGTACATCCCTGCAGTAAAATAATGAGCATTAAATGTGATGCTCACCTCCGCTTCTGCTGGCTGAAGGTGCCGGTTTAAGAGAGGAGAACTTCCAGCTGTGCTCACAAACAGAGACAAAGACAGAGAGAGAGACAGAGAGAGAGACAGGAGCAGCCTAAGAGTGTCTGCCTTCAGGAGGAGCAGAGGACAGTCCTGAGCCATCACAGAGCTGCAGCTTCCACTGACAGACAGCTGAAGACCTTCAGACTGAGCTCCTCTTCCAGCTCTTTCATACTGCTGCCTGTCTCCCTTCAGCGCGAGCTGTGCACTCTCAGGGATTTAAGCGCGCGAGGGAGGGAACCGCCTCACAGGCGTGACCATCGGCCTTCCAGCCAGACGGGTCCTAAACGGAGTGAGGAACGACTCGTGTTCTCCGGAGTCGACTCTGAGTCTCGACTCCTGCCGAGGGACTCGATCGAGTCGACTCCTCGACTCCACTTCAGTTTCACCATGGCGGCTCCAGAGCGGGAGATAAAGGAACTTTGTGAATGCACCAGGTCGATGTTCACTTGCTCCTCTGTTCACGAGGCTTAAGCTTATTGCTCAACTAATCCGGCCCACTTTAAGTGGAACAGCAGTTACTTTAATGGTGTGCCGGCGTCAGAATATAACTGCAGCGCCATTTAAGGTGGAACGGAAATTTGACAAGCAGCTGGAAAATAAGGAGCAAAACTCAATCTCTTTTTTTCACAACAATCTTTGAACAACAGTGTTTGCTTTTAATTTTCGTTCCGTTTCTGATCATTATTTACTGCAGCACATCATGAAGAAAATTGGAGCCCTCAAGGCAACATGAATATTTTCACGAGTTATACCTGAATTACTACCTGATTTACTTACTATATACGTGCACTTTGTAGTTCTACAATTACAGACTGTAGACCATCTGTTTCTCTGCATACTTTGTTAGCCCCCTTTTACCCTGTTCTTCAGTGGTCAGGACTCCCATGGACCCTCACAGAGCAGCTACCATTTGGGTGGTAGATCATTCTCAGCACGGCAGTAACACTGACGTGGTGGTGGTGTGTCAGTGTGTGTTGCACTGTTCCGAGTGGATCAGACACAGCAGTGCTGCTGGAGTTTTTAGACACTCCTACCTTGTAGATGTAAAGTCAGAGACGATAGCTCATCTGCTGCTGCAGTTTGTGTTGGTCATCCTCTAGTCCTTTATCAGTGGTCACATGACGCTGCTGGCTGGATATTTTTGGTTGGTGGACTATTCTCAGTCCAGCAGTGACGCACAAGGAGGTGCTCATAATGTTATGCCTGATCGATGTATATACAGTATTGTGAGAAAATGCTACAAAAACGCAATAGTAGGTGTTTCAGGTTAGAGCATTTTCTCACTACAGTTGATAGTGTGTTAATAAGTCTAACACTATTGTATTTTATTGCAGAGTAAAATAACTCATTTAAAATTACTGTATTCATGATTATGCTGTACACAGGGATTACCTGCTTACCACAGCCACAAAAACAGTCTCAAATTGTTTTAGATCCTTTTTAATGAGCGTTTTGAAGAGGAAAACCCCTCAAATGCTTCCGGTGCAAAGTGCCAAAACGAATCTCTCTCCAAAGCACCCATCTATGGCATAACAAAGGGCCCATTTAACAGACAACACTCATTTTAATTAAGACTGATGCGTTTTGTAAATAAGTTTCAAAATACTCACTTCACACATTCATGCAAACGAAGATGCCAAGTTAAATTCTTTGCTTTTGTGACACCAGAAATGTCACATCAAGATGCATCTGCCTATTAGTGCATTAATACACGTCACAGTGGAATCTCAGGAAAATAAACAAGAATACATAAAAGGTGCCAAAAATATTGACCTAAAACTTACAGTAGAATAAGTGCCAGAAGAGCCAAGTCATTCATCTGAATTTGCTGAAATTTATGCTGTAATTCTGCAAGGTGTGTTAATCTTTGGGTATATTGGAAAGAAAAATTAGGAAGGAACATCATTCCTCTTACGGAATTATGTCCTATGCCGGCAAGCAATAACATTCTTCTGTGAAGAGCATCACCGGATCCTCCAAATAAACACCGAACCAGACATTAAGATCAGAACAATGTTTAATATCATTTGCAAAAAGAAAAACCCAAGTAAAACAGTTCATTTCAATCTTACAAAACAATGATATGAAGTCTTCGACAAGTCTAACACACTAAATGTGAATTCTACGAGTCAGGGAAATTAAAAGGGAGTAACAAAAATAATCACCTCTAGCCCCTTCATCCCATCCTCTAAGCCCCAGGAGTCCTCAAACAGTAGATTCACATTGACGCTTCAGCGCAGAGGGAGCCACTGGAAGCAGTACATGAGACGCTCTGGCAGAAAAAGTACACAGACTGTGGAAAACTGACCTCTCCTATCACTTTTACCCAAATGTTATAACCTTCCCCCCCACCCCCACCCCCCCCCCACCTCACTCCAACTTCTCTTACAATGGTGCTTTTGCTTGAATCCTTTAGTATGGCCGGCCTCTCCTCTCATCTCTGTGCTCCCCTCTGGAAACAAAAAAAGAGGGGGTGGGATTCAGGTGGGTTTACTCTCATGAACATGACAAATACTCTGACGAGTGAGGAGGTCAGGACAGCAGTCTTAAATCAGTCTCGTCTTGACGATATGACAAAATCAACCATGTTTGATATCCTAAGTTTTGAGTCTTGGCTCACGCAAATATGGACGTGCCAGAACCGCGCATGAGAGCGATTTAACAAGTTAATTAAAAAAAATTCTGGGTGATTTGCCGGAGTATACAGTTCTACAGTGAACTGGGCTGAGTCCCAGATCTTTTAGTTTTGTTTTCACTACCAGACAGCCACTTTAAATAAACTTGTGCCCCATAACATTTGGCCTAATTACCCAACTATTCTTAAGAAATCTCTCAAAACTCACTTGCACAGCTTTAAAGATCGAGATTCGTTCTTAGGTAAGAACAGAATCCACACAAACAAAGGTGAGAACAGTTCTGCACTTTAAGAACACGTCATGAATTTGACGTAGACTTTTTCTTAGGATCTTTCAAGAACACATTTAAGAACACAAACTTGAAGATACTGATGAATGAGGCCCAATGTTTTGGTTCACTCTTATAGTTAAGAAGTATTAAAGAGATTCTGTTAAGTAATATAAACTGATTTTTCCTAATGGGAGTAAAAAAAATAACAGTAATGAGAAACATGGACACTGCAGTAAAAGATGAGGTTTAAAAAGCCAATAAACTTTACAGCAGAAAAATGAATGTGCCTTTTATTGAACAATACTTTATTGTTCAGCTCCAGAAAACGATGGCAAGCATCTCACCTTCCTCCCATCTTGTATCCACCACCATAGCCACCGCCTCCACCACCGCCACCAAAGCCCCCGCGGTCTCCGCCTCGGAAGCCACCTCTACCACCTCTGAATCCACCGCGGTCGCCGCCGTAGCCTCCTCTACCGCCACGGTCTAAAGCACAGGAGGTAATGGAGAATGAAAGGGGGAGAGAAACTAATAATTAGTTAAAGTCTCCAAACACGACTGGTGACCTTGTGTAAAATATTAACCTGCACTTTCAATGTTCACTTAACAAATAGTACCCAAGATGTAACAATTAACATTTAGAAAAGGTGCTTCAGAAAGTTTTGAAAAAACTCTTCTTTCTAGACACAGCAAACATCACAGCAAATTTCAAGTTTGACCAGAAACACTGCATGAATTTCATTAATAAATCTAGTGTAATTATAGTAATATTCTGAAAATCATTTTTAAAATCACCATGTACTACATCAACCTGTCAAACTACGGTTCTTCAGAGTAAAGGGGCCTTGAAATGAATAGCAACAGTGCCCCCTACAGAACAAAAACCATTAGCACATGTAAAAAGTGCACCATTCCTTGCCCTTCCCACTAACCTCCAAAACTGTCTCCTGGTTTTGGTGCACCACATTTGTTGCATTCGAATCGCCGTGCAAAGTTCATGTTGCCGCATGAGCTGTAATAAAGAGCACAAACAAGGTTAGTATGTAAAATTTCAAAAAGGCAGAAATGTGTAGATTTAAAAAAAACTAAATTTATAATCCATCTGACAGCATTTTAAATACAGTGCCTGAAACTTATCACTTGTGGGACTGCTTGCTTATTAATTTATTATACATCACACCATTTTAATATTAAACAGTATTTTATTTACTCCAGTATTTTGAAAGTATTTGATACCTGCACATACCAATTTGAGAAGCCTGTACTGAAGACAGTGTATGGTTACACTACTATCTGAAGACATTTCATTCAAAAATAGCCAAGGGACATCGTCACCGGTAGGTTTATGTTAGATGAGGCCTGAGCCACAGAATTTGCCCCTTCAGATGAGATACAATCACTAGAATTGGTGGAGCCCTAGATAATGATTCAAGGGCTTCAGCAACTGTCTTGTTTACAGCAACACTGAAAAGAGTCTCTTTGGATTGTAGCCATTATCTAGACATGTTAACAAGTCCTTGGCAACTTGAGCAAGTTGAGGCACTCGTCCCACAACAGCAAAGTAATAGCAAATACAAGCAATACTGCTGCAATTTTCAGTCCTGTTTAAACTTAAGCATTTCCCTACACCAGGGGTATTTAATTAAAATTCAATAAGGTCCAGTTAAAGAAAATTTCCTCAAGCAAAGATCCAGATCATAATGTCTAACTTGCATTATGACTCAGTGCCATATACGGTATATGGAAGTAGCCTAATAGTTATAGCAACATCTTGTACAGTCAACAACAATGCCAAATCAAATAAAGTAAAATTTAGCAATATTTCAACATTTGTCAGTTCTCTTTAGAGCACGCCATGTGATATAATCTGGCTCACTTTATTCTCCGACTGCTGTTTCTCGCCTTGTCCCACCCTTGTGCATGAGTAACTCATTCGAGTCGCAGTGCGCATCGTAATGCACAGATCTGACTGGCTGAGTAGTCATGTGATATTCACAACATATGCGATTGGTCTGTGAGTTTCCCAGGCTTCTAAAGCTACCATAAAGGCTACGTTAAGCCGATTAAAATAGGACCACCCCGTTGAAATTAAATAATTCTCCATAGTTTATCGGTTCTAGGTCCAGGTCTGCATAGGTCAGCGTCTGGGTCCGGACTCTGTAGGACCTCTGCACTACACTGTTGGCCCACCTTCCTGTGACGTCAGTATTCAAACACTGACACTTGGAATGATTAACAGTATTTGAATTGGTACACATCCCTAGAGGCGGTGACTCGACTCCCACTTTCACTAGTAAAACCTGACCCAGTGAGTTAATTCAGGTTTTTCCACACTCACCTGTTGGGACAAGGCCAATCTCCTCCTTTGACATCAAAGTTTGGACCACCACCACCAAAGCCTCCTCTACCTCTGAAACCTGTAAAGCCGATTAGGAACCAAAGTTTAACTGCAGTGTAACAGCCAGGAGTAGACAAAGCTCATTTAACCTACAATAATACAAATAAAACAAAAGATGACAAAATATGTTAATGCACCTCCACGCCCTCTGCCTCCTCCTCCTCCTCCTCTTTGGGTGAATTCAGCCCTTCTGGTGGCAAATGACACTTTAATGGGTTTACCATTGAACTCCTTGCCTGGAATCAATCAAGAAAATGGTTAAGAATCAGCATACACATGTATTAGGGCTTTGTAGAAGTCACTGCACAGTTTTCAACCACAAATGTTTTAACAGTAGAGCAACACAGACTCCCTTACCATCAAACCAATCAATGGCAGCTTTGGCAGATGGAGGGTCATCAAACGAGACTGTGGCTTCACCCTTCAGCCTGCCAGTGGCTTTGTCAGTGTAGAGATTGATCATGGGTTTGCCAGTCTTCTTATTCACCTGAAATGAAAACGAAGCAATTAGACAGGCATGACAAGCTGCACAGGGAAACTTAATTGTTAATGGCAAAATTTTATCTATTAGACAGCTAGACAAGAACTGGTTTGATGAAACGCTTGACTAATTTGCAGTTTTGGGGAAAGGACATAACTCGTTAAAAGGGGAAGTTTTTTTATTTCTGAATAATTAAATAGTTATAATGTAAACCAAACGATTGGGGAAAGGTCCTTATTTTTTAGGTTTACCACCATTTTAACCATCAACCTTGCAAATAAAAACTTAGCAAACCATAAAGTTCAAAAGCAAGTTAATTAAAAACTATTGATTTTTAAATCTACAGAAGATGCTGCTTGAATAAAAGCATGGACAATTTAATTTTAATTACATACAACAGGCAATATTAACTATACACATTTTTTTTATTTTTCCCCGTTTTTTTCCCCAATTTAGTCATCTCCAATTCCACCCACTAGTTCGGACTCCCCAAATCACACGATACTACCAATGCTAGGAGAGTGAAGGCCAATACAGGCTTCCTCTGAGACCTGTGAAGCGGCACCGCATCTTTTCGAACTGCCGCTCACGCAACGTCTCTGGACGGCAAACACGCTCAGAGGAAAGCGGCAACTGCCAGATCTATTACGTCAGCTAACAGATGCCTGCTCTGACTAGCATCGCGTTGAGTGATTAGGGGAGAAGGGGGGCCATCCTACCCACCCAGAGAGAGCGATGCCAATTGTGCTCTCTTGGACTCCTGGCCACAAATGGCTGTAGCATCACCAGGGATCGAACTTGCTATCTCCTGATGATGATGGGGCCAACACTTAGATGGTTGCGCCACTCAGGAGCACTAACTATACACAACTTTAAGGCAACGCTGGTTAAACCTGCCTTAATGATTCCAATCTGTTTGAAGAAGTCGCTGACTTCCTGAGTGGTGACGTCTTCCCCAAGACCTTGGACAAAGATGGTGTTGTTGTCGGAATTGTCTTGCTCTTCTACAAAACATGACAGAAAATAAAATTCTGAATTAGTAACAGAGTTTGTGCCAAATAGCATCTCCACCATCCACTGTACTGATAAACCAGGACTACCAAATGGCAGGAAAACATGTCTGTGCCTCAGTGACAACTCAAAGGCCAGCAAACTTACCTGAATCATCCCTTTGACTGTAGTCTCTGGGTCCTGAAAAACAGCAAGACAGGACAGGAAGAAGACAGCCGTAAGCAACCTTAAGATACTAATTAAGAAAAATAACCTGTATTAATTAATTTTGAAAAGGTGTGAGCTAAAAATACGACTTTACAGCTATGCCACAATTCTGTCTGAACACCTTGTAATACCAGCACCAATGTTCTGGTGAGTGTTTAGTAAATAAAAAAACCACCAAGTATTCTTCAGCTAAAGCATGTGTCCCTTCTTCGCCATAGGCACTGCTGGCATCCACAACGTTGGCTTTTTTCTCTTTTTTTAGGCCAAAATTCCTCATGCAACAATACCATTACCAGTAAAATGAGGGATTGGATCTTAAACCAACAAGAGCATTACCAGAAAGGAAAACCTATGACAATAGAGGGGCGTTTTGAGTTTGTCACACCAAAAAAAAGAAGTGGCTGTGAAGAGTTCACTGCTCTTTTGCCAGATAAGCTTTCTTTCTCTTTTCATTCTCTCTCTCTTTTTCCCCCACTGAGACAGTTCTGATGCTCGTCACTTACCACCGTAATTTTTGTAGCCACCACGGTCACCACCACTGCAGAGGAAAAATGGAAGATATGATGGCTTTCCTTTGTCGCAACCTGGGAGCGCAAGGCTCCCCTCTTATGTGCATTGTATTCTGTCATGGTTCAGTATTGCAAAGGACAAACGTCTCCTGTTGATGTATGCAGGCTAAAGAGCTGGGCCAATATTGCAGGACATTTCAATTGGAAAAAATTGAGAATTATGAATGGACTCCATTTATTTCCAATTTGGGAGATGGATGATTTACTTTGGAATTAAAGAGTGGTTGCCAGAACCAAGCGGAGCGTGGAGGATTTCCTCCCAGCTCCCTCATATGAGGATTACAGTTAGATTTAGATGTCTACATAAGAGCTGAGGCACTCAAAGCTGAGCACACTTTGGTACTTTCTTCCACTGAGTGCTTATGAGATCCAATAGTTGAGGTCCAAGTTTAATTTCATTCACTTTGATACCTGTAGTATAAAATGTAGACCATGTTAACACAAAAGCATACGACTCCATGTGAAAAATAAACACAATACTACAATGATACCGTTTCATGGGGAGCGACTGAATGTTGAATTTCACCTTCCGAGGCATTGAAATCCAGAACAGAGTCTCCAAAACAAACACAGGGGAGGGGTTTCTAGCAAGAATGGGAAGGGCAGCCAACAGTGACATACAATCTTTATGGATTATTTCTTAATGAGGTGACTGATTCATCACTTTAATTTTAAATGGGGTAAATGTATAATAAAGGTTTAGCGCTGACCCTTCAGTTAAAAGAGAATTCCATCGATATTTTTCAAAGTAATTTCATTGTTGAGATGTGAAAAATACTTTCTGGTAAATTCTTTCCACCCCAATCCCAACTAAACCCAAAATAATCAAGGCTACAACCCACGCAACATTAAGGGTAACTTTTAGATCAAATGGTCCCATATTGAGCAACTATTCTGGTAATAACTTAGCGAGACTTTAGAGCCAATAAACAATGTGATCCCATTCACAGTTGTGAACCTCTGACTTCGTAAATTTCTCTACAAAAAGAAGCTTTCACATCAACCCATTGACCTTGTTTACATCTTAATGAATGAATTATCGATGGAAAACCATTTTGATTCCTACGTGCTGCATTTTAAACAGGTCTGCTGAGTAAGACAGGTTAGCCATGGGATATAGTTCAACTAGAGAACCTCAGCACAAAAAAAAGAAAGCTCAAGGAATTTTAAACAGGCACTGACACCATTTTAATGGGGAACATAAATCCAATTCTGGTGCATCAGATTGAAGGTGAGCTGCAACAACCTAAACTGAGCTGACAAAGAAAATGGATCCTGTCTATCTGCAAATATCAGTATTTTTGTTGGCCTGCATAAGACAAACAAAAATTAGGGAAAGCTTGCACTAAATTTAGTTCTGATACTCCACCAGGTGTTTTGCAGGTTAACTAGGAATGTGCAAATCACTAAATCATACTGTATTAAATTATTATTATTAGATACTTCCTTCTTCCTCCTCAACATCAGATTATACCTGACTGATGTTCAAATTGTTTAAGGCAACACTGGGCTACTGTGTTATTCAGTCATTGTTCTTAACTTCTAACACTGCAAATATAAGCTCCTCTAATGCTGACAGAGGTGGCCTCAATTTCTACATTTGATTATTGCACCAGCAGATATTTACATCAAATAATTATTGGCTTTGGTCCAGAAATCTCCATATCTGCGCATCCCTAATTTTAACCATCATTAGGTGACAGTGAATTACCAAAGTTGCTACATCCTTAGAAATACAGTACTCCAATGCTCCTTGGCCTAGCTCTCCATGTGTCACCATGTTTACAGTAGATTAATAATGGAAACAATGCCCATAACCACAGTAAACTGACAAGATCAAGCGAATGACATACACGATGAAATGAATTATCTATGTATCTAGGTAGACTGAATTATGGTGTGAGGACTCATGCAATTCCATGAAACAGAATTAGCAGTGGGTAATAGTACCTGTAGGGTGGGCACACTTTGGGACTTACCCCATACCAAAGGGTGGGCCGCCTCCTCCTCTTCCACCTCGGTCAAAGCCTCCACGGTCGTAGCCGCCACGATCATACCCCCCACGCCCTCTGCCTCTGAACCCTTCAGACCTGTCTCCACCATCATCCCCGCTATACCTCCTGGTGTCCCCTGGAGAGAATTAGACAAGCACAACCACGGGTTGAAATACAAACATGACAGATTGTCAACTTTTAGCTTCATGCACTAGATGTGAACCACTCCCTTTCAGAACATATGCATCTCACAGTTTACAATACAAGACAAAAATGATAAACAGTTGACGATTCAATACACTGAATCACAGAGCCAAAACAATTTGGTTCACCATGGATATGAGTCGATTCAGGTCAGGTGCAACATGTTTGTCAAGTTAAATTCAACATGTATTGACGGGTCCCAGTTTCAATTCGAAACACTTCTTCACTGACTATTTTGTCAGTCAAAAGGTTTGTCAAGATTTCCTGCTGAACTTTTGCCGAATCCAAAGTATTTCCAAACAGTTGACCTGGTTGCAAAGCACCTCGTCCATTTTCCAGGGTATAAGTAAGCAAGAAAAGAATTAAGCTGGAGTTCTGTCTCGGCAAGGTTGCTCAACCCACACTGACCTGCACTTTTCAAATTTAATATTCAAACACTTTAAAAGGCATTACAGTGCTTAGTTGAGCTGTTACCCCAGAGAAATTGAAAACTGGACTGCGTCAAATATCAGCTGTTGAAATCTAAAAGGCATTTAAATTTCTGAACACTAAAACATTTAAAAGCTTTACAGCAAATAGTTACACCTAAACATTACAACAAACCATGACTTCATATTCAGAAAAAAGCATTTTACATGCATTACCATCATTCCGCCTTCCGTAACCTCCCTGAGAGCCCCCATATGAGCCCCCAGACTGACCATATCCTCCTTCAGACTGCTGTTCAAAAGAGCTCTGCTGCCCATAAGACTTGTCTCCATACCTTTACAAGAAAGAAAGCAATATGAAGATGAATTATGCATCTGAAATTCAGTTCAAGTCTCTCTGTAAACCAGCATGCATCCTTTCAAAGAACTTTGAAAAACAAAACTACACAACTCACCATGAAGAGTCAGACCCTTGCTGACCATAATTATCATAGCCTTGCTGCTGCTGCTGCTGCTGCTGCTGCTGCTGCTGCCCATATCCACCAGATGAGTAACTCTGGGATGTCTGTCCATATCCCTCTGCAAAGTTAAACAAACATGGAGAGAATGAGGACTGTACAGAACCTGCTCAGTTTTAAGCACCTTATAAAACACTTCTTCTGCAGCTAGATTGCCACCATACATACCTGATGATTGTCCATATCCTTCATAAGAGCCACCTCCATTACCTTGACCATAGCCCTAAAAGATGACAAAGCCATTCAAGTACTTAGCTACAAATTAAGAAAAGCTTACGAGGGCTCTAAAAGTTCACTGCTCTTACCTGCCCACCTTGCTGATAGCCTTGGGACCCCCCATAGGATCCATAACTGCAAGATGCAAGAAAACAAGAATACAACAATCAAATAAACGAAAGAAAAACACCATGGATAAAGGAAACGTCTAACACTACTCAAAGCTGTTAGAAAAGCAGCTTCACTTGCCTTTGTTGGGCTCCAGGCTGCCCATAGCCTGAATCTACAGCAAAAGAAGAGATCACATTTTAGTGATGTGAATTTGTTTACTGCTTAAACAAGTGCAGCCTATTTTTCCTCTGTGAACATAGAGATCTTGACTAAAATTAACCCTGAAGCAGCTCTTTCTGCTCAAACCACAAACTAAGGCATCAGCATTTACACCAAAATAGTGCCCTGGCTGCATGTCTACCACAGACTCACTTGGTACTTCTCTGTGGTCTATAAGCCTCCCTATTGGACTTGGTGCACTACTTGGGTGTAGAATACATCACTTCATGACCTACTTTGTGCACTACATAGGGAGTAGGTGGAAATTTGGGACTCATAACAACCAGCTAAACATCATACTTCTTAAGCACTTATCGTTTTAAGGACCATGGACCAATGTTTCAAAATCTACACATAATTAAATCACTGACTAAGATGTAAACAAACAAGTCATTCACTAGTGGTTTTGGATAGTAAATTTAAAAATAAATATCTTTGTTGTAGACATGGTGACCCTCCTTCCCATCACCACCACTAAAGAAATCTGTTTCTACAACCATCCATTTAGTTAGCTAACACTAAACCACTCAATGCCTGTTCAACGCCAATTTAAAAATCACATATGTGGAAAAATAACACAGAAGTCTGTGACTAGAGTATCGTAAAGGCCTTTATCGGCTCGGCTGAAGGGTAACAGATTTTAGCGAGTTAGCACGAAGGCTAACACCACGCCGCTGAACGAAAATGGCGGTGAACAGCACGAATTTTCAGTCTGGTTTTAACCTGTAACGGCCACTAAAACGCGACACCTGCTTTCAATTGGAATGAGTCTTTCAAGAGATGTATGATATGATATGTTGTGTCAGCAAATGAGAATCAGCTCTGCTCAACCAGAACTAACTTAACGCGACGGGGCTGAAATTAGCTTCCCATCCGAAATTTCCCGTTCCACCTTAAATGGCGCAGCAGTCAGATTCCGGCGTCCCGGAGCCGGAATGTAACTTACCTGCTACCCCCTTCAAGGTGGATTCGAACAAGAAAGTGGCGAATGGGTGCTTCAGGCGCCAGAATGTAACTGCTGCATTATTTAAGGTGGAACGGGAAAATTCGAATAGGAAGCCAAATCCAGTTTCGTGCTAATGCGCTAGCTATTTGCTTAGCTAGCTAAGCTACATCACCCTCGCGACTTCGGCTAACTGGCTAGCCGGCTATCTAGGTCACAAATAAACCAGCCTTATAGAACAATATTGCCACAAAAGCAGCATTATTACACAAGAATGGACGCTTTTCTTACCAGAGGCCATAGTTTCAGATGTAAAAATAAAACTGAACCTCCACTTCAGACCCAAAAAGACCCGCTACTGACACAGACGCGCACTGCAGTACTTATAAACTCCGGCCTGCCAGTGGGGCGGTACCAAGTCATCCGCTACAACGTGTTTACATTGTTGTACATAAACAAAGAAGTGGCAAAAAATAAACACATAGACATATCGATCTGTTTATTTAATATCGTTTAAAGACAGATGGGTGAAACATGATGCAGGTTTTAATCTTTTTCTTAAACTAAAGATCACCCCTCTTCGCTGAAAGTGGTACAGCCATAGCGCCTTTTTTTGTCATGTGATTTCATCGCCACAATTCGTAGCATTGTGGCCGAGTCTAAGTTGCGACTGTCGAAATGGCAAAAATTAAAATTTCATGATACAAAATATTCACTACTGTAGTTTTTTTAGATTAAATTTGGAATGGATAAAATATAACTTGCACAGCCACATAAAACAACAACAACAACAACAATAAACTTAATAATAAACAACATTTTTTTGCGGTGATCTGATTATTCAAGTGGTGGTGTAAACAGCATACTCTAATTTGTTAGATCGGATTAAGGCCTAGAAATCCAAATAAGAAATCTAATAAAGAGAGCTGGATTTGTACGGAGCCCCTAAGGGGCCGTGGTAAAAAAAAATGTTAATGACATTGCGTTCCCTCACAAATGTTTTGCATTCCCTTGCAAAGAATGCGTCCCTTGCAAATGTTTTGCAAAATCATGTTTGATTTTGAGAAGCAACACTATGTCTTTATATTTCAATCCAAGATCAACATGAAATTCAATGAGCTGCTCAATCTCTGAGCACAGCTTTTGCAAGTGATTGCAAACTGTTTGCATTGTAATGCAAAACTTTTGCGAAGGAACGCTGAACATTTGCCAGGGAACGCAATGTCTACCTTTTTTTTTAACCACGATTTGAGCTCAGTAATGTTGTTTAAAGTGACTCAATATTTATAAAAAAATGAGCATGAGTGTTACATCATGTTTATGTCATGTTATTCAGTGAGTTTATTGGCCAGTTGCAAAGCAGAATTCTGATTACTGCCTGATTCATGTAGGCACAGAGTTTCCTATTATCTGATTACCTAAGTGCATGTAAACACAACCAATTACTCCTCATTGCTCATTAGCAGCTCACACATCGTCACACACAGCGTCACAACATTCAGCCAACAGGTTCCTGATAACAGAGTTACAGGGGAAATAATTTATTTGATCTGATTAATTCAAAATGTCTGAACTAAAGTCTAATGCAGAACTTAGTATGTCTCTGCTATTTCGAACTTGTAAGTAAATGAGTGAATCCTAACTGTTTGTGTATTCAGAAATGGCATTAAATAGAACATGAGAGGGAGTGTGTTACTGCAAAATAACATTACGGCTGTGATTTGGTCGCCGTAGATCATCACAGCCGTGATGTTATTTGCAATAACACACGACCTCGAGTGTTCTATTGCTTTTATACAACAGTTAAATAAATAAAGTAAGAAATAAATAAACTGGGCCGTGAACGCGGCGTTTAATATGTTTTAATGTTCGCAGTTCCTTCTGCCAAATTATAGTTCCTTAACAAGCAGCTTGTTGCTACGTCAGAGTAACGAACTCCGCTCACTCGCTGCACAGCCAGCAGTTCGTTCCCCAGCTCCTTACAGTGACCAACTGACAGTTTGGGAATTTAGCGTAGTCTCATCTTCAGAGTCTGACCAAATCAGCTGTCGGTCAAATGTGATCTTAAAAGTGTCCATTTTCTATTTGTGGCAAAGTAAAAAGTAAAAATGTTCAAATGGCTTGAGCATCTCCTATAGCTGTCAAAGTCATTGCTTAGCAACAGCGTCTCAGTTTCGCCGTTAGAACGCTTCTCAACCAATCAGCTTGCGAGGCCGGAACTAACTGTTGTATAACAATCAGTAACTAATTCTGTGATTTGTAAGCAACTGGACAAACACAAGCTGCCAAAGCAGCTTCAATGGGCCTTGTCATTGACTCTGGACGTCTCTGGAACTGTACCGGACAGACGGAACACCGTTCTTCTGAAAGATATTCCCTCAGTTGGTGTTTTGATGATGGTAGTGGAGAGCGCTGTCTAAAACGTCGCTGCAAATTCTTCCTTAGGTGTTCAACTGGGTTGAGGTCAGGTGATTGAGAGGGCTTTCATAGTTACCAGACCCCAACCCAGTTGAACACCTTAGCGAGAGTTTGGAGACCACTCCCATCAGTATAGAACCATCATAAGACAAATGTGAACCACTGTTCTCCGTAGACCGGCGCTAATGATTTTTGCACCACTGACCTCTCAGATGGTCACTGGTCTTTGTAATGAGGGGTTTATACACTCCAGCTCTACTACAGCATCCCTCCCTGTGTAGTTCTGGATGGACTGTTCTTGCTGATCACCTCCTGCATTGAGGTTCTCAGTCACCTGAGGAACAGCGGCTCTTACATCTCACTAATGCAAAAGCATCACACTCACTGAATGTGTATTTTCCAACCATGTTTACTGTCAGCATTTTTATGCATGTCGCATAGCATGGTAGGATATTAATTGCTTAAAGAGCCCATATCCTACACCTTTCTTGCATGCTATTTTCCCCACTCAAGTCCATTTAAAACATTTGTGAGGGTTTATGTACCAAAAACAGCCATAACTCATTGTTACCTTATCGTTTTAAAACCCCTAGAACTAAACAGGCTGTTTTTGTTACTGTGATACATGTAAATGAGCTTTTTTTGGATTGGCTGCCCTGTTGTGCCTTGGTCTGGGCTGAAACACTCCTTATAGCTTCAGTGTTGAGTGGGCAAGGCTAAACTGCTGTTGGCTGAATAGACGTGTATCTGTAAATGCATTGAAATCGCAAAAACGGTGAATTCCAAACAAGCTATTTTGCAGTTTAGTTTCCATTTTGAAACTTTAACAGTGTTTATACTACTACATTAAACTCTTATTTTAAAATAGAAGTGAGAAAAATTCAGTTTTCCATGATATGGGCCCTTTAACACAGAACATCTTAAAAGTTAAGTTTCTCCACTCAAGAGTTTTTCTTTTATTTGTCATTCATCTACTGTCAGTATACACATATCAGAATGATCAGACATTATTTTCACAATAGTAAACTGTCAGAATTAGTGTATATATACACATATATATGCAAAGGTTCACTTTGTAGTTCTACAATTACAGACTGTAGGCCATCTGTTTCTCTGCATACTTTGTTAGCCCCCTTTTACCCTGTTCTTCAGTAGTCAGGGCCGCTATGGACCCTCACAGAGTGTTATTTGGGTGGTGGGTCATTCTCAGCACTGCAGTAACACTGACATGGTAGTGGTGTGTTAGTGTGTGTTGCGCTGGTGCGAGTGGATCAGACACAGCAGTGCTGCTGGAGTTTTTAAACACTGTGTCCACTCTCTGTCCACTCTAGACGCACCTGCGTTGTTGGTCCACCCTGTAGATGTAAAGTCAGAGACGATAGCTCATCTGCTGCTGCACAGTTTGTGTTGGTCATCCTCTAGTCCTTCATCAGTGGTCACAGGATGCTGCCCACAGGACACTGTTGGCTGGATGTTTTTGGCTGGTGGACTATTCTCAGTCTAGCAGTGACACTGAGATGTTTAAAAACTCCAGCAGCACTGCTGAGTCTGATCCACTCAGACCAGCGCAACACACACTAACACACCACCACATCAGTGTTACTGCAGTGCTGAGAATGATCTGCCACCTAAACAGTACCTGCTCTGTGGTGGTCCTGTGGGGGTCCTGACCATTATAGAACAGGGTAAAAGGGGGCTAACAAAGCATGCAGAGAAACAGATGGACTACAGTCTGTAATTGTAGAACTACAAAGTGCACCTATATAGTAAGTGGAGCTGATAAAATGGACAGTGAGCACAGAAACAAGGAGGTGGTCATAATGTTATGCCTGATCAGTGTATAATAATATTATATAATACTACAACAAATTCATGTTTATAGCCGTTAGACTAGAAAGGGTAAAAACAAAATGCATTTTTTTAAACCAATCAAGGACCTGACACTGTGCAAAAATTAAATCTGAATTTCAATTTTATTAATTTAAAAAGACATGCCTAGATAGTAGTAATATAGGAAACATTCATTGCATATAAAACTGTATGATGCTGACAAAATAAGTAACAGCAACAGTACCAATTTACATCATATTCTCTTCCAAAATAACTAGTTCATCATCAGCGATGCTGAACTGCAGATTCCATTAAGAAGGCAGGCTACTTTTTCAATAAGGCACAGGTTGACTAGTACACAGATAGGTTCTCAAGGCCAACAGTCCCTTATATTCCACAAGTGGTGTACAAATGAGACCCACATGAGGCCTGATGTGTCTATGAGCTCGACTACAAGTACGATCACTCGGAAAAGTGTTGAGAAGGAACAAACCGGACACAAAAACAACAGAAATAAAGCATAGTTCAGAATGTAATGCTACACCACTGAAAAGGAAAAGCACTAAAAAGGTAAATACGGCAGAGAAACAGTGTGTAATGTCCTAATCAACGGAGCTTTAAAGTTGAAAAAAAAAATGAAATGACAACCGTCACAATGTCCTACGGGGTGTGCCAGCATGCATCACCCTTAAGTTATTTTGCTGCGCATGTATGAGTTCACTTGAAAACTGAAATGTTAAGATTTTTCAAAAAAAGTAAAAGACAAAATTATTCAACATTAATTGATGCCCTGTATTGATTCCTACAGAAGTAGTGAAGCACAGCAGGCTACAGTACAAATGGCATCAAGTGCATAGCGATAACTACATTTAATCAGTGTCTCTGAGATGCTAAAGGCAGTCATCACAGCCGGTTTCACCCTGATGGGGCCTGAAGAGTCAAATCCATCACTTAAATTAGTGGCTACTGCAGATTTGCATGTACATGATTGCAATTATAAAGCCATGAAGTTCTATGCATAAAGTGTATGTTCAGTAGCCCTATTACATAATTAGAGTATTGAGTTTATGGTCCCGCATAAAAACATTCAATATTCTGCACATTTGCTTAAACTAAGCCCCTCGCTGCCTTTTATGAAGGCGGTAAATCATGAAGAGCCTATCGCACTGTGTGACAGTTCAGTATTTTGGTTGATATGTTCACGATGCCACACACTAAGACTTACTGTATCTATGTACAATGAAAGTGTTTGTCGAGGCAACTGCCAGAAGCACCAACTCGAAACTACAGTGAGTGAGCTAAACGTCTGCATGTCCGTGTTTCCCCCCCCATTTACTACTCTGAAAAGATTACATACACGTTTAAAGCGGTCCTTGAAACACCGCCAATTAAAAAAATTTATAAATTTGAAGAGCGGGGGGAGGCGGTTTAACTCCAGACGTCTTGCGAGTAGCGTCCCTTGGTCATCAGTTTCTTGATGTAGTCCACAGCTTGGGTGTGCGTCATGCCGCCCAGCTCCTCTGCGATCTCGTAGAAGGTGGTCTGTACGTCCCTTGCCATGTTACGCGCGTCCCTGGAAGAGGAAGAGGGCATTTAAGGTTTGGTTAAGTGAAAAGTTCAGGCAGCTTTTGGTCCCTCCCTTCCAAGCTGCTCCGCCTGGCACCATATACACTGTTTTATTGGCTGACGTTTGCCAACATCAATCTATGAAACAAGGTCTTAACCCCTTTAAAATCCCAGGCTTATTACATACTAAGGCTTATTATTCAGTAACTACAGGAACTTCAATGCAAACTGGTTGAGCTATTCTTAGGTTATACACTCTTAAACAAGATGGTATTTTAAGGGATCTTTAGTAAAGAAAATGGTTCTATGTAGAACCATGAACACTCAAAGAACCCTTTGCAGGATTTTTTCTGTCGTTACACTGACAGCCATCACTGCAGTAGCTAAACAGGACCTAATGACATAACCTATATCAGATGACGTCAGGGCTGAACAGACCAGCGTTGGGGGGCATCACGGTCACCACATCGACAATTTTAATATTAATGTAAAGTTTTGTAGAAATACTTCCTTTTTCAAATCAACACCTGACTGGTGTGAAGCATGCTTGTTAATGTATATAAGATAAATACGTTTCTATTATTGTGGTAACAAATGTTTAATTTCGGCCACAAGATTTAATGGCTCGGTTGCTCTACTGACCAGGGCGACTGTGTATGCATCTCTCCACCCCTGTGGCAACATTTCTAAACTTTTCATGGTCACTTACCCGCAGATGTAGATGTGTGCATTGTCTGTGTGGATCTGCCTCCAAACCGCCTCCTTATTATTCTTCAGTTGATGCTGAACATAAACCTAGAAGTATTGAAACATGAGACAGATGAGAAAAGCATGTATTTCTAGAGAAGGCACACTTTCCTCTATATATGCTCACTGGTCCCTTTATTAGAAACCCTTCTAATGCACAGTTAGTGCTGGTGTAGAAGTACAATTTGTCTTGTCCATCCTCTAGCCCTTCATCAATGGTCAGTTTCCAACCACAAAGTTGCTCTTAGCTAGACATTTTTGGGTGGCAGACCACTTTCAACCTAGCAGTGATATTGACATGGAGGGAGGTGGGCTAATACTGTGCAGCAACAGATAGGTTACAGTCTGTGTCTATACATCTATTTTATCTATACACGATCCTTGTTTCTACACTCACTGTCCATTTTATCAGCTCCACTTACTATATAGGTGCACTTTGTAGTTCTACAATTACAGACTGTAGTCCATCTGTTTCTCTGCATACTTTGTTAGCCCCCCTTTTACCCTGTTCTTCAGTGCTCAGGACCCCCATAGACCCTCACAGAGCAGGTACTATTTAGGTGGTGAATCATTCTCAGCACTGCAGTGACACTGACGTGGTGGTGGTGTGTTAGTGTGTGTTGTGCTGGTACAAGTGGATCAGACACAGCAGTGCTGCTGGAGTTTTTAAACACCTGAGTGTCACTGCTGGACTGAGAATCGTCCACCAACCAAAAAAATATCCAGCCAACAGCGTCCTGTGGGCAGCGTCCTGTGACCACTGATGAAGGACTAGAGGATGATCAACACAAATTATGCAGCAGCAGGTGAGCCATCGTCTCTGACTTTACATCTACAAGGTGGACTGACAAGGTAGGAGTGTCTAATAGAGTGGACAGAGAGTGGACACAGTGTTTAAAAACTCCAGCAGCACTGCTGTGTCTGATCCACTCAGACCTGGACTACAGTCTGTAATTGTAGAACTACAGAGTGCACCTATATAGTAAGTGGAGCTGATTCAATGGACAACAAGTGTAGAAACAAGGAGATGGTCATAATGTTATGCCTGATCGGTGTACGCTCACTGGTCCCTTTATTAGAAACCCTTCTAATGCACAGTTAGTGCTGGTGTAGAAGTACAATTCGTGTTGTCCATCCTCTAGCCCTTCATCAATGGTCAGTTTCTGACTGGGTGGCAGACCACTTTCAACCTAGTAGTGACACTGACCTGGAGGGAGGTGGGCTGATACTGATACAGATGGGCAACAGTCTGTCTCTATACATCTATTTTATCTATATATTGGACCTATGAGTCCAATGGAGCTCAAAGTGGCCAGTGAGCAGAAGCACAAGGTAAGTGTCTCTAAAGTGACCAGTGAGCAGAAGGACATAAGTGTTTGTAAAGTGGACAGCGAGGGTATTTAACTTGCTACCACAACTACTAGCTAAAGCTGATTCTGTACAGAAGCTCAGGAATGTGGGAAAAGTACCTTGTGCTCCTGGTCCCTGGAGAAGGCCACGTTAAGTTGCGTCAGCACTGCTGCCTTCTCGAACGCCTCCAGCTCCTCCTGGTACAAGAAGTCTTCATTCTTGTGACGGCAGCCAAAGTACAGCACGGTCTCTCCCACTTCTTTACCTGAGGGGGAAAAAGGGAACAAGCTGATGACACCGCAAAATCACCACATCTATATCTAGTAAATTAAAAAAAAACAGAAAGGAACTGAATAGAATTGTTTTTTTTTATAAACGTTCACACAGTGACCCTTTAAACAGCACATTTTAGAACTAGAAAAGAAAATATAAATCAAAAATAATGTTAGAAGTGTATTATGGATCGAGGTATTGTATTCATTGCATTGGGACAGATTTTCAGTAAACATACCTATTTAAGAAAAACTTAATTTATGCTGGATTTGGGGAAAAATCAACAGGAATGTTGTGAAAGAGTTTGTAAATCACTGGTATGTGAACAATAAACCAGAGCCATTATAAATTAGTGACTCCTTCAGTAAAGGAAAAAGGAATGAAGTTTAATAAAAACTAATAACGAAGCTCTCCCTCTTCAGACAATTAGAACAAAAAAACTATCACACTTCTAAAACTGACACTGAAATCTTAAATAAAAGCCCATTAAAAACAAAAAACAATGAAAATTTAAAACTTTAATAACCTTGACCCCTTCAACATCCACAAACTGACACTTCAAACTACACATTTCAGATACCGTAAGCTAGTTTGGACCGGTTGTGAAATAGATGCAGTTTATACCTTGCTCTTTGAGCCAGGCACGTTCCTGAATGAAGCCCATGAAGGGAGCGATACCGGTTCCTGGGCCGATCATGATGACAGGATTGCTGGCCTTGAAGGGCAGCCGGAACTGCGACTTGCGGATGTACATGGGCACGGTGGCCTTGTGCCCGTTGTCGGTGGGCATTTTGCTCTTCAGCCAGTTGGTGGCGACACCTTTGTTGGTGCGACCAGTCTTTGTCTTGTACTCCACCACCACAGCACAGATGTGGATGCTATTGGGATGCACCTGTCACAAGAGGGTGCTGTTTAGCAGCAAGTATGACACAGCATGATACAACACGCAGTGGCACGTACGCTGTGGAGGAACGTGAGGAGGAAAAAAAAAAGGAGAGAGATAAAGACTTACCTTGGAGGAGGAGGCGATGGAGTAATAACGAGCCTGCAGGCGGGGCAGGAGCTCACAGAGGTGGTCGATGGGGGGCCGTAATGATGGTAAGTCTTCTAGAATGGCTAGAATGTTCCTGCATGAGTCTAGCACCCAACTCTGGTACAATGCCTGATTGGGGACAAAATGAATAACAAGAATATCTAGCAGGCTATACAGTGTTGCTTTTTACAGTCATAAATTCTCTTTCATTCGTCGACACTTGCATTTTCATAGTTTGACTTTTCCTTCTTTGATCTCTTTCGTGATTAAGGATATGCTTTCATGTGCATGTGCATGAGGAATAATCAGAGCCTGAATATATAAACTTTGGTTGACAGAGGAAATTAACTCCTGTCGTAAAATTTGTTATCACAGCTGTGTTTATTAGGTTTTACGAGGCTGAAACCGAGCTGAATTTGCTTTGTGAGACAGGCCCTGAGTGAAGAGGCACTTTAGGCCGTTCATTTGAAAGGCAGGAGGTGGACGTGGTACGTGCCTTGCCCTCAGGTGAAGATGAAGCCATCTTGCGCATGTTCTCCTGGTCCTTGGGGTCGGAGGCGTACTGGGCTAGCTCATACAGGACGTTGGTACGTGGGGAGTTAGTGATGTCCAGGTAATGAGTGAGGGCGGTGCGATACGTGGTGGGACACGGGAACGGGTGCTTCTTATTGGACTCCTCTGTAAACAATAATAAAAGAAAAACAACAACAACAACAACAACAACAAATCAACATGTGCAGATGTGGTTAGGGGTATGAAGCACTAATCTGATGGATTTGTACTTGATCACACTTTTGCTTTTTAACAAGTTATACTTTAATCATTAGCACTTACTAATTTTTTTCTGGATTTAATTTCATTCGTTTCTGTTGGGAACAGAATCCATACTGCTTTGCTTTTGTTTCTCTTTTTTGAGCTTAACATTTTATTTTTGACCAAAAAGAGGAGAACAGCACATAAAAGCTTTCAGTTTCAATGCTGATGCATAGAAACTAGTTATATAGGGGAAAATACAGGGGTGCATAAGAGCTGCACTCCAACTCCAAGTTGTTTAGCTGCTCTAACTATACAAAAAAATACAAAAAAAAACCTAAACCAGTCATGTACAGATCTGTGGTAAGGGACTGTATGTATCTACCTGAATTTTGGAAAATTTCTGCATAATTAAGTACACCAGGAATGATTAATCTTAAAGGGGAATTCCATCAACTGTTATAAATGTAAAGATAATTCAACTGTTAAGAAGTAAAAAGTCATTGAGTGTGATTTGATGTAAAACGCTCCATTGTAGAGAAACTTACAGAGTCAGAGTTGTTTACAGTGATGGTGATGGGAACCAGATGTCTGAGTTCAATGTTGTATGATATTTTTGAGAAAGTTTTGGCTAAAAGCATATTTTTAACATTCATTCATGGTAGAAATAATAACAAAACAGTGAAATTCCCCGTTAAGACTAAAGAAGAGATCACCAATTGGAATATGGGCCATGGATCAAACGAGCCAAGGCTTAGCTAATATGGAAAAGCATATTGTGAATGAAGTTATCATTATCAGTCAAAGTTTTCCAAGACACAGCTGGGCCAACTGCTGCTCAAGGTCAGGGTCATACCGTCGAGGTTGTTCAGGGAGATAACGGTATCAAGGTCCACGCCAAGGACTTCCCCCAGCCTGTTCACTATGGTGGCATCATTGGTGGGATATACAGCTACGTGGTCTCCTGATTCATACCTGGTTGGTTGAGAACAGTTTCAGCTTAACCTTTATGCTGAATAAGATAACATAAGGTTCCATCATTATGCAATACGAAGGAGAAGTACATTATCTAAACATTCAGTGCTCATTAAGATAACGCAGCAAAACAAACAGGGCCCACTGTCAGTCAATCACCATCCTGGTTTTCATCTTAAATGTTATTTTTAGCAGTTAGTTATTAATTGCTTTACCTTTAGTCTATATGAAAAGCAAACAATAAGGCAATTGCAACATATATTACAATCAATCTTTATTACACTTGTTTTATTGTACAACATTTATTGTTGACTGAGTTCTATGCCTTTTCTAAAAGAAAACTTTTACATTTTAAGCACACTATGAACAAAAGTATCCAGGCAGCCCTTCTAAGGAGTGTCATTTAGCTACTTTGAGGCACCCACTGCTGACACAGCTTGTACAGGGAGATTCACTTGAAAGAGGCCCCGAATATTCTGTAATAACTCTCGCTAGGACGAAGCAATCTGAATGAAACAACGTGCAATGTGCTCCTCAGTATATGGAGCTTCGAACAAGCTGGGATGCCCCTGCGTCGGAGCGATGAGGTAGGTGCTGGACAGCCGCCGCAACATTTAACCTCCGTTTGCAACTTCGCGGTGCAAACCCCAGTTGTCTGGCAGAAAACAGACATCACTTCCAGCATTGCATGTAATGCAATCGATTACACATCTATCAATGTATGTAGCATATTTTTTTGGTTCAGGTTGCTTCATCCTAACGGGAGTTACAGCAGAATATTCGGGGCCTCTTTCGAGTGAATCTCCCAGTATAATCTCCATAGAAAAGCACTGACCAATACAATCAGACGCTCTGGAGCAGCCGCACACGAGCCTAAGGTTGCCATGTCTAATGCCAAGCGTGGGCTAGAGGGGTATAAAGCCCCCCAGCATTGGGCTATGGAGCAGTGGAACTGTGTTCTCTGGAGTGATGGAGCTCCATCCAGTACCTTTGGGATGAGTTGGAGTGATCCAGAACTAACCATCCAACATCAGTACCTGACCTCACTAATGCTCAATCAAATCCTCACAGCAATGTTCCAACATCTAGTGTAAAGCCTTCCCAGAGAAGAAGAGGCTGTTACTGCATACTTTTAGACCCATTCTGAGATGTTCTGTTTACACACACAAACGGTACTTTTAACAGCTGTAGCTTCAGACTACAAACCTTATCTTGGACCCTGTGATGTCCAGTTCCAAGTGCATCAGGTGCCGGTCGCCTCCTTTGTTGAGCTTGCGGTTAACAGTAACAGGGGCCAGGAATGGGTTCTTAGAATCAAATGGCCTGAAAACAGACAGCACTCGTCAACAGAGAGACTCTTCTTCAACGGCTATTATTACTCAAATATCAGCTTTAATCTGTCAAAACAATACACTGTTGATATGAAAAGGTATAACAATATATTAAAACAATCTAAAGAATAATGTACACCATCAATTTCATGCAGATCACTTTGAATGAGAGCACTGTATTGTAGAGGGCTTGGGACCCTAGGTCACCTCTGCCTGCTTTATGCAAAAGATATGCTATATTTAAGCAATAGAACACGAGAAGGAGTGTGTTATCGCAAAATAATGTGATGCTATTGGCAATAACACACGACCTCAAGTGTTCTATTGCTTTTATACAACAGTTAAATAAATAAAGTAAGAAATAAATAAATCGGGCCGTGAACGCAGCGTTTAATGTTTTAATGTTTGCAGTTCCTTCCACCAAATTATAGTTCCTTAACAAGCAGCTTGTTGCTACATCAGGGGAACGAGCTCCGCTCACTCGTTGCAGTTCGTTCTCCAGCTCCTTACACTAAATTCCCAAACTGTCATCACCACTGAGCAGCTTTTCAGTCGGCAGCTGTAACAGAAGAACAGCTGAACAACCTGGAATCAGCCAGAAAAGAACCCAATACCATTCACCAAACGTGTAGTCTCGTCTTAAGAGTCTGACCAATAACCAATCGACCATAAAACCACCGCAATATTAAGTTTAGCTCAGTTTTGTCACTTTTTGTCAGATCAATATTAATGTTGTTTTGTTCCAGCCAGTCTGTAAAGCATCTTACAGCCCATTTTGTTTGGCGAATGGTATTGGGTTCATTTCTGGCTGATTCTAGGTTGTTTAGCTGCTCTTCTGTCACAGCTTCCGACTGAAAAGCTGCTCAGTGGTGATGACAGTTCGGGAATTTAGTGTAGTCTCATCTTTAGAGTCTGACCAAATCGGCTGTCGGTCAAATGTGATCTTAAAAGTATCCATTTTCTGTTTGTGGCACAGTAAGAAGTAAAAACGTTCAAATGGCTTGTCGAGTTATACAGCGTTTGTGAAAAAAATGTGCTGTTATTTCGCCATAAGTTAGAACGCTTCTCAACCAATCAGCTTGCGTGGTTGGAACTAACTGTTGTATAATGTCTGGTAGAGCTATTTTACAGAGCCAGTTAAAGTGGAGCACTAGCAACTGATTGGTGAGCAGAGCAGCTCACTGTCTAAGTAAAGATGGTTGCACTCACTCAGGTCATGAATGACCATAAGGCACTCTATGTTCTATGTTCACTCTAAAGTTCTATAACTGAAGTAAAACTGCATTTTAAAAATATGATAGCGTTAAGAAAAAGAGTGCATTTTTCTGTAATATAATGATTAATCGTGCACACATCGCAACCTATTCATTTCTGACTCTACAGCAGTGTTTCTCAACCTGTGGGCTACAGACCACCAGGGGCCGTGAAGCACCTTGTAGTGGTCCGTGGGCGTGTTCTCAGGGGTAGACAGTCGTTCGTAGTGGGCCGGTGCAGATGTATAAATAAAATATCGCAGTCGCAGGCTGATCAAACGTCATCAGTTTGAGATGATGCAGCGGTGGGCGCACAGTGCAGAGTTAGCCAGAGACTGATAGGTTCCTCAGGGTGTTACTCCTACCTTGTCTGTTGCGGACCTATCAAACTGTTTTCTTTAGTTCGCTCCATTTTGACGTGTGTGAACTCTCCACCCCTATTAGGGTCTGCATCAGACGCCGGTTCGGCAAAACCTGTGGGTCTGGGTCTGTTTCCAACCAACCCTGTTGAGTTCACTGCTGGTGGGACACATTTTATGACCAAACGAGGGAATTCATCAGTAGAGCCGGTTTTCCCCTTTATCTAGCAGCACGTCAGCACTGTACCGTCAGTATAATCTGCCTGTTTTAACCTCTGACTCTTTACAGACTCTTATTGCTCTCATATCGTTTCTGTAACTCGAGCTGCCGTGAAAAACGACAGACGAACCTTGAAATAATAGCAAAGATCTCCGTTTGATTATTAGACAAGCATCAGCAACCTGAGTTAAACTCAAACTGATAAAGGGACAGAAATATCTTTTAATATTACCATCATCTCCTTCCAATGTCAGAAAGCAGAGTTGAACCAAAAAAGTTGATTGATGAGCTAATTTACTTACTATGGATTAACTTTTAGTCCAAAATATGGCATCAGTCATGAAAAATGAACGCAAAATGAGCCAAATTTAAACTTGACTCAGTCTCACCTCTAATGGTCTCAACTACCACACCAGTTTACAGATGGAATTTACTGACCCTTGTTGTCTTTTCTGTTTGTCTGCTGCTATTTTGTGCTAAATGTTGCACCGAATTGTGAGGAAACTTGTTCTCAGCACATAGATGCGATGACAGGAATGATAAAGTTTGACGTAAAATGTGGCGGGATGCATGTGAGTGTGAGGGACGATTAAATAATACGTACGGTTTCTGGTTCTCAAAGCTCTTCAGGCGTCCCAGCTCTCCTGTGTAGATCTTATTCATATTAAGGTCCTCGTGGACTTTCAGCTCGTACTGACGGATGCTAAGAGAAAAGAAGAAGACGTGTGAACTCTTGAGTGCATGCATGTGTCTATTGCAGGCTTATTACAACCAAAAGCTAACAGTTTTGTGACTGTTCATAAAAAAATGTTATTCCAAACTACTCTGTTAGTTTATCTAGTGTGGAGTAAGACTTTGTTACTTCAAAAGTGACTTAAGCCCTTTAAATCCCAGGCTTATTACATCCTATAATGTCTTATTCACTAACTGTATGGACTTCAATGCAATATAGCTGATTTAGCCACCAGTGGGTCCTGACCATTTATGGGCTTTAGCCTTTATTGCATTATTTGATGCATGAATTAATACACATTAAAAATGTTTTCTTACTGAAAATGACATTTACATTTTGAATTGTTTTAAAGAGGGTGCTTTGCATTTTGTTCCCATAATGGCAACAGCATGCAACAACAGATCTGCAAATTGCAAAGCATACAATGGGGGGGGGACAACACTCTGCCACTGGACACTATTGTCCAAGATTAAAAAAAACTGCCATATATTAAGATTAAGTGACCCTTATTAGTCCCACAACAGAGAAATTTCACCTCTGCATTTTACCCATCCATGCAGTGAAACACCACATATACACTAGTGAATACACACACACACTAGGGGGCAGTGAGCACATCTGCCCGGAGCGGTGGGCAGCCCTATCCACGGTGCCCGGGGAGCAGTTGGGGGTTAGGTGCCTTGCTCAAGGGCACTTCAGTCACGTACTGTTGGCTCAGGGGATCGAACCTGGTTGGTTCACTAACCTCCAGCCCACGAGTGCCCCCAAAATACGAGAAGGTCCCACCGAGATGCATAAATGTTTTAAGAACACAAAGTATGAAAATAATTCTAATTAACAATTATCATCTAATCAATCAATGGATCAATGTCCGATAGCGAGTGCTTATTTACTCCCACTACATGCACCGCAGACTGCAGTTCCATGGTCATCTGCTGTCGCCACATGACAACTATATTTTATCATTTTATATAAAAGCAAAGTATTCAAATTTAATGAAATTTAATGAAAAGGAAGCTAAATTCTCACATTTTGTGGTACATTTTATTTTCCAGAAGTATTTGTGTATAAATATTAAATTATACACACAATCTGCAACACCACGGCATGTGATCATATAAAAGTATGCTATATTATACATAAAGCTCTTTGTTTCCTAAAGAAATTGAAGATGGACTTTTATATTGTAGTGAGATCAACTGCAACACCGCGCAGCAAGGGTTCAGATAAAAGCTGCAGTGATGTGCCAGTGATTTGATGTCAGCAGTTTTTTGTAAATAAAAAAGCAGCAACTTTCTGTATCCTAAACAACTTGAACTTAGAATTTCAGCCAAACTAAGACTTTTTAAGGACCTGCTGACATCCTGAGTTCTCCAAAAACCTTGTTAAAATTCACATTCAGCCCCTGAATGAGAGAAAGGGACAAAGCATGAGAACGAAGGAGAGTGCACAACAAGATGTACACAGTGAAAGAGGGAGTCTGAAAGACAGAGGGGTGAAAAAAAGCTTCAGGTCAGCCTGCCCTACACACAGCTGCACTTTTGTTTAATTTAAACCAGAGAACTCTACACAGCTAGAGAGGCTTTTTGTGAACAAAAGGCTTGAGAGCAAGTAAGTCTGTGTGCAGGTATTTAAGGGAAACCTAATCAAAGCAAAAAAGACAAGAACAAATAAGAAAAGGAATGGTCTGTATGAGTGTTATTCACAACACATAAAAGACAAAAACATGGAGGAAAACAAGACAAACTGGACATGAGAAACAAATGAAAAAAGTAATGATTTCATCGTTATATTAAATTGTGAAAAAGACAAACAGTTGTCGTACCTGGACTCTTCTCCAGTCGCTTCGACTCCGAAGTGTTCACATACAGCTGGCCAGAACTGCTCTCTCCATGACACAAAGTCTTCCTCGAGACTATAAACAGACAGAGAGAAACAAAAACGCTTTTAGGATTCTAATGAGTGAAGTCAACTACTTTAAGGCACTAACTGTGCACATGGCTTGTATAATCATAGAAAAGCATGGTATAAAGCCCCCCAGCATTGGGCTGTGGGATGAGTTGGAGTGATCCAGAACTGACCATCCAAATCAGTACCTGACCTCACTAATGCTCAAATCCTCACAGCAATGTTCAACATCTAGTGTAAAGCATTCCCAGAAGAGTAGAGGCTGTTACTGCAGCAAATCTGGACAAACTCACTATTAATACCCTTCATTTCAGAATAAAACGCTGGAGAAGCAGGTGTCTACAAGAGTTTGCATACAGTGCATCTCTGAAATGATTTATAGGGGATGGAAAAATCACAAGTTAATATTAAGAGATTTTATTTCATTTCCGTTGGTATATTTGTCACAAAATGTTTACACAATGTAAAGAGCATATGATAAATCATCAGGTGGGAATTGCAGTGTAGAGTTTGGACAAATCACAGATCATTTCATCACTGATCAGATGTCTTATCTAAGGAGATGTCATTTTTATCAGGGTGGAGATTAAGATTACCAAACGGTTAGAATTCTATACTCACTTGCCATCGTCGTCTCCCAAGCCAAGGTCAAAGATCCTCTTGGCACCCAGCTCCGACAGCCTTTTGTCCACATATTTGCCCATGGCATTGTAATGCTCATACGTCTTGTTGCCAAGTGCGAACACCTACGAAGAGAAAGAGATTTGATTTAATTCACACACTCAATTCAGTTATGCACTGATTTAACTGTAACCAGCAATTAGGTTGGGGTCATATAAGAGCTGTAACTGTCTTCTTTCCAGTCAAATAGATGGGTGATGTAATTTTAAAGCCTTATAATAAAAGAAGCTGAATTCACTATTTTTTTTTGTCTACTGAAAGTCGACCCATTTTTCCACAAATCTGGGATATAAACTATAAACAGATGGCGTCTCTTCAGTGATCTGCTCTGTAAAAATTATTTTTATAAAATAATACAAAGAGCATCTAAGATTTTTGGCTTTCAGCAGTAAATTGTAAGCATATATAGCAATATGTGTATGATCATAAAACACATGTTCTGTTAATTTGAGGGGAGCTTTTAAAATAAATAAATAAAAAAAAAATTTACATTTATTTCATGCAGTTACTGAACAATTTGCCTTACGATTTGGTCACTTAAATTCAGATGGAAAAACCAAAATATACCCTGGAGAATAAGAGGTTAATTAACTTTTGTATGTTTGACGCTTTAATAAACGAAAAAATGGAAACATTAAATATAAAGCACATCTTCAAGGCACAAACTCATAAAATTTATTTAAGAATTCTGTAAACCGTAATTGTTCATAAAAGCATTCTGACAAGACTGCGTGAAGATGGCCAGCACCACATTTTACACATTTTAACAGATATGAAACACACATTGGGATCACAGTGTTAACTGTACAATCAATTACTAAATGGGAATTGTTCATATGTCATTATTCATTAACACAAAGCTTCAGAGGAGAGTCTAGCGCAGGAGTGGCGAACTGAAGGCCAGAGTCCAGCAGAGTTTCTCCATTTTAATACCAACTTAACCTGGTAATTTAGGGCCAAGCTGAATCAGCTGTGTTTAAGCAGGAAAACAAAAAACTATGCAGGAATCCGGCCCCCCAGGACAGAAGTTCCCCACCCCGAGAAGGGTCTGGCTGCAGACATGCACTCTCAGCCTGACATGCACCGCCAGCCTACTGATGACGTCAGTGCTGCTCTGCCACGACAGCGTTTTTGTCGGTTTTATGAGGCAAAACAGTGAATCAAGTACTGCTGGGCAACAAGAGTTACACTGAATGTATATTAATGTTGCCATACTGATAATAAGGTAATTAAATATGGAAACTTTCACAGTAAAACCAGGACAATAATACATGAATGTCAGGTTTATTCGCAGAAAAAACAAAAAGGCTACTGAAACTCATGAAAGCCATGAATCGGTTAGAATCAGTTATCAAAAACTGCAATAGTGATTAAAATAGAACTTATTTAGGATTCTAGGAGGTTGTGAAAACGTACAGTCAACGTAGTACCGATTACTGTCACAACCTCCTAGAAAGTTGACAAGACAACGTTGTCATAACTTTACATTTACGAGGAATTACATTTCAACATTGTGCTAATGTTGAGAGCACCATGCAGACAACCTCGTCACTGGGGCTGAGAGTGCATGTCTGCAGCCAGACTCTATTGCCCACCCCTGGTCTATTACGTCAGATTTGCATCGGACAGTTAGGGCTGCATGCTTTCACTTCCTATTAAGCAACGTTAACCAAGCAAAACTACAGACTGAATGAATAAACCCAAACTGGTCTGGTGTTTTCAAAAAATTTGGTTTATTATTATTTTTTTGGTTAAACTATGCCTTTGAGTAAAGCTTAATGCTTACAGGCAGTTATTTTACATCTGTATGAAGTCTCAGAAAACAGCTGTGTGGGAATCAGCATAAAATGTTTAAACAGTCGATAACAGTACTAAGAAATGTACAACTAGTTGATAAAACCCAACTGTTTGGTTCCGTTTTCTTCTCCTAAAATGACACCAAAGGGAATCTTACGCTGTATTGTAAACTTTAACCAGACCGAAACTGCATTTCCAGAAATAAAAACTCTTTATTTATTTAATTTAACAGATTTTAAACTGTTCTTTTGAAACCATTTGAAGCTCCCAGTAGATAACATACACTGCAGTTAACTATGCTGGATACCATGAGTAAAGAGCACAAAATTAAATAAAAAAATAAATTCTTTTTTAATAAAGTAAAATAATATACATTTATATTTTTTATGATACCACTGACTATAAAAAAATATTTCATTAGTACCTTATTATTTCATTTCTATTTGTTTCCTTCCTATTTTCTATTTTTAAGATTTTAATTGAAACAAATTAGATACTGAAACAGGCCTATAGACTTAACACATGCACAGAGAAAAGGCTATATCTAAATTCAACACAGTTAACAGTAATTATTAATGAGAAATACAGGAGAACAACATAATGTTGCCTACGGGAATCAAAAACCAAGATGCCCTGAGAATCACGTAATTACAACATCTTGGCACCTTGACTTGAAATCGAATTGTGAGGTGCCTAGAGACTCTCAGCTGACAGGTGTCATATCAGCACTAGGTGCGACGTTCCAAACCAACCAAAACAGCCTGACAGGTTTCATGGATTCCATCAACTCAGATTAGGTATAATCAATTATCCCTTTCCAGTCTAAAGCAGATGGACAATGCGGAGAAGCACAAGCACGCAGGAAAAGCGTCCAAGAAGTTCGCTCAGTTCTGTTATTCAAGCTCAAGGACTGTTTAAGTTGAATTCTCCCCCGAGGCCTCAGAAAGAAGAGGCGCACGAGCAAGGCCAGCTACCCGGCCAAAGCCCTTTGTAGTCCGACTTCAATGAGCACTGCTCATCTCTGAATGCTAATGCATTCTAGCGCACACTTTCATCTGACACGCGATGAAGAGCGGCATCAGGGCAGAATATAACACAGGACAAAAGCAGCAGCTGCTTTATAACAGCATTCATGCTTGCGACACACAGTAACCTTTGTCGAAACTGGCAGCAAAAAACACTCTGAGAACATGATGTGTCATCTGGCAGCAAGCCAACGGCGAGCAAGGGTACTGGGACCTGCTGTACTCATCTTGCCCTTCACATGCTGCTGGGTCACAGGACCGCTGAGCGTTGGGTCTCATGCCTGCTTGCTCATGCATCAGCAAAATCTATACATTTGCAAAGTCATTAAACAGTAAAAAACAGAAGTTCTCCACGTGACTGTACTGTCTGACACTAACTGTGCTGAGTCACGATGGGAGGAAGAAATGACACAGTATAATATCACAGTGATTTTTGGTTTAAAAACAGTATAAATGAACTAAACGACTGAACGACTAACATGGCAACTGCAATTTAAATTGCTATTATTTTATATAAATCAATGTTCAGGCCTGTTTTTTAGGCTTGAGGCTTAAACCCTGAATGTAGCACCAGACTGCTAGTAAGTTGTGCTTGTGATATCACAACACATGGAGGTTTGGTTGCCTCTGATTCTTCTAACTCTACAGGCAGTTCACAAGCTCTGTGTTATTAGGTTAAATTTCCCCAGTTAAAACTCAAAGACAATGCTGTAAATAATATAGGCTAGAATTTTAAAAATCTGCGGCTCTTGCAATTTGAAAATTGCACTCTCTTAAACTGAGATTTCGATATAAAAACAAGAATAACATCATTACAATCAAAAGCATCTGCTAACTAGGTAAATGTAAGGACAGGCTTGTTTTTGTTTGCTTCTCAATTATGCTCTGCTTCAATAAAAAATACTGAAGTAAACAAAGGGTAAATTCATTAGATAAAGTTTTCAACTCAAATGTAGTAACTCGCACTATAATCAGGTCATTTTTTTCCCCCTGATTAGAATCAGTAAAGATCCACATATTTGCCAAAAAGTTTCCACTCTCAGTCACTGTGCTTAGTCACCAAGTTTTTTACTACACTGTAGTAAAAAAGTTTACTGGAACAGTTACTGGAACGCTACAAGGGCGCTAAACGCAGCAAACGGTTTCCTGTCAGATTGTCTAAGCTGAATGCTAAGTCGGTGAAGCCTTACTCAACACTGAAGTATGACATGATGACGCCCACGGTACCACTGCCATGTCAATGTGCACTGGTGTGTTTCAGTGGGAAAACACAAGGTTACTGAGAGTCCCTTGGGAAGTTCTGGACAAATCCTGAATGGCTGGCCTGTTTACAACATCCCGAGTGATTCAGGCTTTCCAAAAGAGTACAAACAGAGCTTAACAACAAGAAACAGCTGGGGTTTAAAAAAAAAAATAAGAAAAAAGCTACACTATTGTCCAAAAGTACCCAGACACCTCATTAAATTAGCAATGGTGGGTGATCACTAATTACATTTACTCCCATTAAATATAATAAACTTTCAACAGATTTGTACCTCCTAGAATATTTTCACAATATCCTTTTTGCTTCTGCTCACGTATATTAGTAAGGTAAGTAATCTACTTCCTCATTTTAGTCATTATCATTTAGTTACTAATCCCTATAAAGCCCCCCAGCATCGGGCTGTAGATCAGCGGAACTGTATTCTCTGGAGTAATGAAGCTCCATCGAATACGTTCGGGATGAGTTGGAGTGATCCAGAACTGAACATCCAACACTTCACTAATGTTCAATCAAATCCTCACAACAATGTTCCAACATCTATTATAAGCCGTCCCAGAAGAGCAGAGGCTCTTACTGCAGCGAAGAGGGACAAACTCACTATTAACATCCTATTCAAACAGTATAATTACATAAACAGCGGATGATGTACTGTGAACATTTACAGTAACAAGAATGCATGAAGACGCAATCAGAATAACTTGCCGTGTAATTGACTCCGTCCAGGTCAGTGTCACCCTCCTGTAACCAGTCATAGAAATCCTGGGCATTATCTGTAGGGTCTCCTTCCCCATAAGTGGCCATACAGAAAATGGCCAAGGCGTTGTCGATCTCTTTCAAGCGAGAAAGTTCACTCTTATTAAAAGGGCAAAAACAAAATTAATCTGTATATGCTTCATATTATTGATATGAACACAATAAACCCATCAGCAAGGAATTATTCCCCTTCAAAACACAATGACATGAACTGGTTTTAAATCCTTTGGCTATAAGAACATCAGAGAATGGCTCATCTCTGCATGTCATGAAAATCACACCAGCACATGAAATCACATTAATTTGTTTTAATAGACCTAACAAGACCTTTACAGCATAAAGGGATGAGCTTAGACTGACCAGTTTTAGTGGACAGATGCAGTATCATTAACCCATTAATGTCCTTGTATAAAATTTCATAGGGTTTCTGAGCTTTCCTGAGCGCAAATCTAAGGAAATGACTAAACTATATGGCTACAAAGTGAATTTTATCGCCCAAATTTATTATATTAAAGTCAAAAATAAAAATAAAATTGCAAGGCCAATTTACACAATATAATTTGCATCCTTCAACTTTTTTTCAGGTAACTCAAGCGCACCTGCAAATAAGTTGGTTTAAATAGATAAATAAATTCCATTTGTTTGTTTGTTTATTTATTTACTTACTTACTCACTCACTCGGGCACTACAGATTTTAACAAAACAACAGAAATCACCTTTTTTTTTTTATTGTAAACCAAAGCATAAAAATTACATTTAAGCCAAAAAACTCCAACGGACACTATTAGATATTCATCCAAGGTATTATACAAAAAAAGTCACTATAGACAACAAGTTTTGTGGCCTAATGATATTAAATTTAGTTACTAAACTTAAATGTGTATCAGTAAGTTTTATTACTGAATGTGTTGCAGTGTGAAGTTACCATTTCGTATTCCTCTGGATCTGCAGCCATGCCCTTCATGCCATAGCGCTGGGCATCTTTGGAGAGCCTGTTGGCAAACTCCTCAGCTGTGCCTGTCTGCGAGCCATAGAACACCACAATGTTCTTGCCCTGGTGATTATGAAAAGTGAAAAGGTTATTTTGTTTGTTAAAGCCTTGCTAACTTAATGTTAAATTTTACAGACATAAAATGTAATGTCTTTTAACTATTTTTCTTTTCTTCCATAATACAACCAGCACAATGCTGCTCATGTAGTTCATTTTTTTGTCAAAAAGAACTATTCATCAATGTCACGCTGAAACTGTAACTTCATGAAACTCAAATCTGCAAACAAAATTTTTATTCATACATTCTCATGGTTTACATCTCATTTCATGACATTACAGATGACCACTCTGTTCGACACTTTGCTCACTCGTTCACTGACGACAGCTAAGCATTCGACTGCGTAAACTAGAAACTCTGGATTGTACTGCGAAACATGGGTTTACCAGAACACCTGCGTGGTATTTCACAAAGCAGGATTTCCTTATCTCTCAAGCTGATTAACTTAAGCCAAAAGGCAAGTACCTCTCATGCACTGCGGTCAATAGAAACATTCCTTAGCTCGTTTTTTCTCTTTAGCTTGTTTTTTTAGGCTCAAGTACTCAGGTTAACCGAGAAATCCTGCTTTGTGAAATACCCACCTTGTTAGTTCTCTTGTTAGCTAGAACCTCTACAAATGATCAAGCAGCAAGAGCCCAAAAAGAGCACAGGATGTGAGCTATTTCTCTCAAAACCCTGGAACTGTAGTCGCGTGTTTTGGCAGCATAAACATTGCTGTTGTGGGAAAAAAAAAACTTGTATCTCCAAAATGGTAACTTTACAGGAGAAGGAAAAACATACTTTACTTTTAATGTACGTCAATGGAACCAGACTTTTTTACAAGTCATTTTAGGTCATTTCTTTTAGTCCGTTCATCATGAAATTTACACACAATGTAAAGGACAACGGGTACTTTTAAATTACGTCAAAAACTGAAAAACGTCAAAAATGGAGATACAAGGTTTTCCTTCTGACAGCAGAACATCATAAAAAGCAAATTAGGATTTGTAGCTGTACTATTTCATAATACCACAATCTGTTTAATGTCAGAGCTGACGAGATTGATTCTAGACATAACTACGCAACACAAGACACGGGACAGCTTTGCACTCGTTGAGTTCTAGGCTTGTTCTACAGAAATAAAGCAATATGAATATGTGCGCTTACCGTTTTCTTCATCTTCTCAATGAAACTGGTTTCCCTCGCGGCCGGTGCTCTACAAGAAGAGATCAGTACATCAGTAAAGACACGTATTTTCAAATGATCACAATTATCACAACCTTAACCAGAGATAATGAAGATGAATTCGAGTGAAACCAGCTTTCCTCGGGAGGCTGAAGACAAATCGTGCCATCTCTCAGAACCTAAAACCTCAGAGACCTTCTTGTGAACAAACATGACTTTAGATCAGAACAAACATGGGAGACAAACAGATTACTGTGCTAGTAACGTGGGCATTTACCAGCACAAAAAGTGGTTCTTCAAGGGTTCTTTAGTAAAGAAAATTGTTCTATATTAGAACCATGAACACTCGAAGAACCCTTTGCATCATTAAAGGGTTCTTCAGATTAATGGAGAATAGATGCTTCTATACAGAACCTGTTTGAAAAGGGTGCTATTTAGCATGAAAAAGGGTTCTACTATTGTTACAAGCTTGACAACTCTTTTTGGTGCTTTATAGAACCCTTTTCAACAAGGTTCTGTTTAGAACCATATACAAGGCATTATCCATAGTCCAGAATCATTTCACTATGCAGGATCTGAATGGTGGTTTTCTGAACTGGACTACTGACTGGATCATGGTTAAAATCTCCACAGAGTCACTCTGGACACAGGTAAGTCCTGATGGTCAGCATGATGTGTGAACTGTGTCGCTGTTTTTAACCCTTCTGTTGCCGTATGAAGGCTGAAGCAGAGAGCTAATAGCAGGTTTTACAGTGATCTGGCTGTGTGTTTGTGCTGTATTTCTGGGTTGTGGGATGTTAGAGCTGGTTTCTCTCACTTTGGCTAGTGATGGCAGGTTCTGGTGTGTAAATCATGTCACTACTTTTAACCCTTTGTTTATAATATGAAGGCTAAAAGCAGAGATGTAATATAACAGTAGCGAGTGGGTTTGGGTGATTTTGGAGCTGGATCTCTGGCTGATGGATGGTCACAGGTGGATGAAATCACTCTGGATGGCGAAGCAGAGTCTGATGAGTGACCTGATGTGAGAATCATGTCGCTGTTTTAACCCTTTGTTGGAATATGAAGGCCAAAAAGCAGAGCAATAATATCAGGATTTTGGGTGATTTTCCGAGCCAATCAGTCACTGATGATGACATCAGAACTTAATGACGTCACACTAACTAGTTAGGGGCGGTTCTAGTGTGGGCCTCATTTTTATATCAAATTTGCCATTATGAAGAGCTGCACTTTTATTTTTAGCTTACCTGATTAGATCAATGCTGTTGATAAGTTTTAAGAGGGAACATTTGACTTAATAACATTAATCAGAAGCAACCAAACACCCATGTGCTGTGACACCACAACCACAACTGGCAGTCTGGTGCACTATGATCAGCGATCAAGCCTTAAACCAGAAAAAAATGGGTATTCTGGTCTTCTTGGCCAAAATAACAGCTCTGGACCTTAATTTACTGAGTATAATTACAATTTAAAGAGTCGTGGCTCTTTCACAATAGACATTTTACCCAAATTGTTCCGCCTTAATAGAAAATATTTGTAATTTGTTTCTGTTTCAGTGCTGATTAGGCAAAATGATTATCCTTCCATTAATTTGGTTCTCAGCTCAAAACTAGTCAATAACTAACACACATTGGTTAACGCTCTTTTACGCATGACACTGTGTTCCACATGAGAGAATCATTGCCTGTGTTTACATGCAAAGATTGTTGCCAATCTGACTGAATGCATTCCGATTACAGATTAAGACTGAGGTGTTTATTCTCACTCAACTCAACAATCTGATGGAAAATCTCCGTTTACATGCTTACTACAAGCAATCCGATCCAAAATTATGTGTAGAGAACCACTTAGTGTAGCCGTTACCATGACAACCAGCATTACGTGAGTCCAGTCAGAGTGTGACGAGCAGCAGTGAGCAGTGCTTGTGTTTTTAATGATTTCAAAATGATGTCAGACTTGATCAGAACGGACTTAAACTTTCCGATTGGGAATGTAATCAGATACAGGCATTTACACGGATATTATTCTTCTATTTAACGGATTATTTACAGGATTATCCACCTCGATCAGTTGGATAGAAATTGTATTCTGAATGGCCTCAATCAGACTAGACTATTCCGATTGAAGTGTATACATGGATGTATTCTATTCCGATTGAGCTATGAGTCGTATTATTAACGGATTATTGGGTTGCATGTAAACGTGGCTAGTGTTTATTCAGTAATGCTAGCACCAGTGACTGTGAATAGACTGGAGGGGTAAATATTGTCCTGAAATCGGGACACTTTTTATGACAAAATCGGCCAGATTATTCAGCCCTGTGGTGCAGGAATAAGCAAGGGTTTCTACAAAAACTGATAAAATCTACATGAACACCTGCGAATTATCATTACGATCGCCAAACATTCAAAGGGACAAAAACAATTATTCTGGGAGCTCATTTCATAAGCAACATGACTAAAGAACGCTTGATTAGGATGCAGTGGAAATATCACTAAACACAATGCATTAATGGAACAGTTGTCTTTCACAGAGGCCAAAAAACATGTAATTGCCCACAGCTTGAAACAAAAAGCCCTGAGAAAGGAGAACGGAGCTCGAGGCACGGAGCCAACCGCTGCAAAAGAACCTAAATAAAAGTTATTCAGCATGTTCAAACTGCTGTTAAGCTTTTTGGAAGTAAGCGGCAACATCTAAATAACTATAATGGGAAAAAAAGTCCTATTTTGAGACCTGAATGTATACATAGTGTATACACTGTGATATGGTGGTAGTTTTACTAAATTAAAGACTATTTAAAGCCCATATTTTAAAGACATTACATTTCTTGCATTTTACGATCCACAGTTTTATCTACCAAAACTGCCATAATTCATTTTTCCCATGACCCTTTTCCAACCTCTCTTTTGCTACGTTCACATTACAAGCCTCACTGCTCAAATCCGATCTCTCTGACACGATGGTTCACACTCGTTTAGGTAAGTGATTCAAATTTGTCAGTAATGTGAACAAATAACGTCCTGAAATGACCCGCATGAGCACATCCTAATCACGAGCATCAGCAGCAACAAACTAACGAGCAGAACGAGCTTCGCTGAGAAGATAATAAACTCTGATCAGCTCTCAGATTCATTATTAGAGTGAGATGAAGGAGAAAAAGGTGAGATGAGTTGCTTTTCCACCATTTACAGACTTTAACTTCTGTTCGGCGCTGCTGCCATGGTAATGCTGAATGATGGCGCAGCGCAGTGGAAAAAAAGCACATGAATTCCGATCTGAGCGTCACATTAAGGTTGCATGGCCACGAATCGGATATGTATCCGATCTAGGACCACATATGAAAGTGACTCAGGTCGGATTTGAAAAGATCAGATTTGTGTGTCCACACAGCCCTGAAAACATCAGATCTGAGTCACATTAGGGCAAAAAATCGGATTTGTTCCACTTCAGCCTGGTAATGTGAACGTAGCCTTTATGCCTCAGATATAGACAGGCTGTTTTTGTTACTGTGCCTTTAGGATGTATGTAAATTAGCTCTGTTCTGATTGGCTGGCCATTACAAAAATGGAATGTCCTGCAGTTTAGCTTCCACACGTACACTGTTAGAAATAAAGGTTCTGTGCAGGTACATTTTTCGTTTATTAAGGTACAAACAATGTAAATGTTCCCTCAAAAGGTACAACAGTGGTTTTAAGGTCCAACTGTGAACCTTAAATAAGTTTTTCCAGGTGAAAATTTTGTATTTGTACCTTTTCATAACCAAATGTTTCAAAACAGAACAATAAAATAAAAGCCTGGGGACGAGACGGGGTGTGTGGAGTCAGTACAACTTAGAAAATATCATTTTAGTGGATTATGGTACAGTTATGTTCCCTGACTAACGGTACTGAGATGTACCCTTGAGGGAACCACCCAAGTGACAAGAGGGGGACTGCCCCAGTGTCAGTTTTATACCGTTTTTGCTAAGAGTGTATGGACCTGGGAGAGAATGGGACGTTCTGAGACTTTAACAATGTTTAAATACTACTTTAAATTCTTCCGTTTCAAAAAAGTAAGGAAATTTAGTTTGTCCATGATATGGGCCTTTTAAAGGACTGTACCAATCATTTTGAGACTATGGATTTTAAAAAAAGAGAAACAGCAAACAACTGCCCCAGATGAGAACGCAGAATCACTTATCATGTACTATGCATCTCATATATTTAAGACCTTTAAACGGTGCATTACATACAAAAAAGCACATTTAAAATGATTAACAGGATCCATCCACCCTGACCACTTTTCTGTCATGACTGGTGGGAAAGTAGTGCAAAACTAGAGGATCCCTGGCTGATCATTCAACTCTAGGCAGATAGTAAGACGCCTGAAGAAACAAAGCAGTGCTCTGCAGACCATCCATCATGCTCTGCGTGTTTATCTTAACTGACAGCAGCTCAGGATGAGGAACTGTCATTAGTTTGCATACCAGCCCAGCTCTTGTTTCCTATGAACTTTGGAATATGTCCACACTTGCCTGTGAAGAGGTTTGTATAGTTGGGCGATTGGTGACGTTTAAAAGCTAAAAGAATCCACATATTTATTACCGCATGTTCTGCCTGCGTAATGTTTGCACTGCAAGATTTATAACCATTTAAAAAGGTGAGTAATATCGCCATCATGAGCGTACTGCGGATATCAGTAGTTAAACAGCGTTTCATATTATTGCCTGATTTCAGAACATAATTAGTCCTGTTTAATTGGATTTTTAGTGCAGTACAGTATTAGTAGTTTTTTAAAAAGTATTATGTATTTTGTGCCACTCTGGTGTTTTCTTTTTGCCTGTTCCAATGTATAAAATCTAAAAGAAGTCTATCATGAGGACGCAAGTGTCATCATTTCACAAGTCTTGCATCCCTGCATGTAAATATACATGCAAAATCACTAACAAAGCCAACTGTTTTGATCCGAGAAACGTCCATTCATGACTACACAGGAACACACTACTACGGTGACCACCGGGAAGCAAGCGGTAAGGTAATTACCCACCTG